TCAGAGTGTTTCCTGAGTAGCTATTTACTGAAACCTTAATCAAAGGAACAAAGGAAGACTACTAAGAGTATTAACAATAGGAATAGGGAGTAGATTTTTAAATAATTTTAAAAGAAAATCTTTTGGGGAACCTGTCAACTCGTTTTAAATTCAGTGGAATAATCAGCATTTTCATTAATCTCAATTTTTTTTAATCACTCAATAGTTTTTACTATTCTATTTGAGAAATTGCTTTCAGAAAGATTGTTTCCTAAGTATGAAGTTCAGAATTCAATCCCTGGGACAGGAGTGGACTTTGGTTGACAAACTGACCTAGAATTTTTTTCATTGGTGGAGAAAACCCAAGGATTCATGCATTCTAGGCAAATACTCTACCACAAGCTATATCCTCTAGCCTGTGGTCTAAAGAATTGTTAAAGTATTAACTTGTAATAAATGAAAGGAAATAGAGCTAGAAAGAAGTTTCAGTGGTTAAGAACACTGGCTGCTCTTGCAGAGGATTTCCATTCCCACCCCCCATGTGGCAGTTCACAGCCATCTGTAACTCCAGTTTCAGAGAAGCCTTCTTCTGACCCCCAGGAGCACCAGAGACACAGGTCTCACACACACACACACACACACACACACACACACACACACACACACACACACACACACACACAGCCAATTGCTTACACACATAAAATAGAAACATTTAAACTTTTTGGGAAAGTGAGAGGGCCTGGAGAGATGGCTCAGTGGTTAAGAGCAGTGGCTGCTCTTGCAAAGGATTCAGGTTCAGTTCCCAGAACTCAGATGGCAATTTACAACCATCTGTAATTTCAGTCCCAGGGCACATAATGCCATTTTCTGGCCTCTGCAGGCATCACCCATACATATGATGCACAGACATACATGGAGGCGAAATACCCATATTCATAAAAATTAAGTAATTAGAAGTAAGAGAAAATAAAAGAACGATGATGGTGGAGACAGGGTCTCACTGTGCAGCCCTAGCTGGCCTGGAACTCGATAAATAAACCAGGCTGGCTTCAGAGATCTGTCCTCCTTTGATTCCCAGGTGCTGGGATTAAAGGCATGTACCACTGTGCTCAGTTAAAGAATATTTAAAACAATATCCAGGCCAGGCAGCGGTGGCCCACGCCTTTAATCCCAGCACTGGGGAGGCAAAGGTGAGCAAATCTCCATGAGATGGAGGCCAGCTGGTCTCATCACAAGTTCCAGAGCAGCCAAAAGTACACAGTAAGAACCTGTCTCAAAAAATAAATAAATAAATAAAATAAAACAATAGCCAGATTGACACTCACTTTCAAGAAGCTTCAGTCAGCTGCTGCTCTTTCTTTTACCATAATTGACAAGAACTGTATCAGAAACAGCAGAAGGTAGGTTAATCAGCCGGGTGGTGGTGGTGCATGCCTGTAGTCCCAGCACTGGGAAGCAGAGCCAGGTGAATCTCTGTAAGTTCGAGGCCAGCCTGGTTTACAGAGCGAGATCCAGGACAGGCACCAAAACTGCACGGTGAAACCCTGTCTTAAAAAAAAAAAAAAAAAAGAAGGTAGGTAATCAGAGTCAACATCAAGCTAGTTCTGCTTCTTAAAATTAACCCCATAGATTCCTTTTCCTGAAGTGTACTATATTTTGTTATGTCTCAGGGTTTCGCTTTTTTTTTTTAAATATCTTTCAGTAGTTTGGTGAAGACTACAAACTGTCTCTCAGAGTACGTAAGTTAAGTGTTTTCATCAGAGCAGTGGGATCTGTTTTGGCTTGCAGTGTCGGAGTTTCCAGTCCTTGGTCAGCTGATCTCATCACTGTGGGTCTGTAGTGAGGCAGAGAATCATGGCCAAGAACACATAGTGCAGGGCACCGTAGAGTAGAGCTGCTCACCTCAACCGTGGCTGGGAGACAGAAAGATGGAGAGGTGTGTGACACGGTAAAGAGTCCAGTAACATACCTCCTTTCTCCAGTGATGTCTTACTGCTGGACGTTTCAGCCACTTCTCAGAAAATGCCATCAAATTATGAATCTGTCAGTGGATTAATTCACTGATTAAGCCAGAGCCTCTCCCTTTACTGCATTCATGAGCCTGCTGGGGGATACTTCATATCCAAACTATACACAGAAGAATGTTTTGTTTGTTTGCTTCTGCTTTTTTCAAGATGGCATCTCACTATGTAGACCTGGCTGGCCTTGAACTTGGCAATCCATCTGCCTTTGCCTCTGAAGTGCTGCTACTAAACTCGAACACCACCACACTGAGCTTAGAGTAATGTTTTTAAATCCATAGAATAAAATACATAGAGGGCTGTATAGCACTGTAAAGTGCTTTTCCTAGCTTACATAAGGCTCTGAGTTTCACCTCCAATCCAACACATACACACACACACACACACACACACACACACACACACACACACAAAGGGGTAGGAGAAGCAGGGGAGAATAAGGGAGAGAACTGAAAATTCTTAACCAAAAACAAAATCTGAAAGAAATTTAAAATGTTTCAACTTCTTTGGAGTGGAGAGGAGGAGGATTTCTAATGGAAGAGGTCTTCTTGGTTAAAAGTTACTCCTCCAGGTTCTAGAACATTGTGCAATTTTTTCAAGCAGCATACATGAAATTTCCTTAAGTGCCTCTAAAAATACTTTTTTATTCAGGGTCTCACTATGTATCCCTGACTAGCCTGGAACTTGCATGTAGACCAGACTGGCCTCCATCTCACAGAGATATGTATGCCTTTATTACCTCCTGAGTGTTTTGATCAAAGGCCTGCACTACCACACCCAGCTTATAAAAATACTTTTTAAATGATTACTATAGTATAACATTACTAGTACCTACAAGCCTATTTAATGTTATCCTTCATACCCACCATAAAAGAATGCTGTTTTCTCTATTGCCAACTAAATTAGACTGATTTCCTTTTTCAAATACGTGGCAGGCCCAAATCCTTACAGTGACTTTTCTAACCCAGTTAACAAACTATTTCTCTCCTCCCCTATCCCCTAGGGGCAAATCTATAATGAAAAGGCTGGTCACAGAGCTTCTCTAGGGAACTTTCTATGTCCATTTTGTCCTAGATCTCTTTTACTTGAACCATGCTCCTTAGGCTGATATGCTTTACCTGGAAAAGGATCTTAGTTGTTAATGCTGGATTTAGGTATAAATTGGGTAAAGGGGCAGGCTCAGAGGTTAAGAGCACTGGCTGTTTTTCCAGAGGACCCCAATTCAATTCTCAGCACTCCCATGGCAGTTCACAACTGTCTGTTAACTCCTGTTCCAGAAGATCTGACAATAATTTATGTTGCTACTCTTTTAAAGGAGGAGGTAAAGGGAACAGATGAACAGCAGTAATTCAAAGTCCCTTCACCCTCTTCTGACCTCTGTGGGCACCAGGCATATGCATGATATACAGACTTGTATGCAATATATATGTGTGTGTGTGTGTGTGTGTGTGTGTGTACACACACACACACACACACACACACACACACACACACACAAAATAAAATTTTAAAATTTGGGTAAAATGAGGAAGCCAAGACCAGTTTGATGTTGTCACCTGACCACATGGGAGCTAGGATGGGACCAGCTCCTTTCTGTTTGTAAAGGGCCGTGGGAAAAGGGCTATAGGTGTGCTATATAGTGTTAAGTTATATGTCTAATGAAAAAAGTAAAAACAAGAGACTAAGCAGTCACTATTTTTAGAAACAAGACAACTAGAACCATCTTTCAGAGCCTTTCTGTTAAGGGGCTGCGGAAACCTGCAGCGTCCAGGCGGTTTCTGTGGCATGGATGTTCTAATGAAAGAACAGAGCCAGTGGCCTCAAAGGGACTTTGAATTACTGCTGTTCATCTGTTCCCTTTACCTCCTCCTTTAAAAGAGTAGCAACACAAATTATTGTCCAATAACCTTGCCTTAGTCATAAACAGGGGTAGACTTTGCCTTACCTCTTCATTGTTCTGTCACTGAAACCTCTACACAAAAATCAGTGTAATGTCTCCTTCTCTTTCATCCTGCCTACAGGCTCCTCTCTACCCTTAATTTTTTTTCTTCTTTGCTTGCACTTTTATTTTGTCATTATACAGCCAGCAGCATTGTACTGGCCCCTTTATGGCTTCTGGAGCCCAGGCAGACTGCCTGATGAAGGAAGACAGCATTTGGCCAATGGGGCTGGTGTGTGCCATTATTGCTGGCCATTGGGCCTCTGTCATCTCCAGTTCCGTCCTGGCTCATTAAAACTGTGAGCCAAATAGCCACAAAGGCGCCTGCTGCAGCACTGTGGGGGCCAGGAAGTTAAATGGTTCTCCTAATCCTGCATAATTTATCTCCCTGTTACTCCCCTCGTAAAATACTACAATTCAGCTCCACCACAGAGAGCTTCGTTCTGAAATTTCCTGTTTTTGTGATGACCACCAAGTTCCCAGTCTTTCTCTTCTTCTCTCTTTATTGTTATTATTAACATTTTTGCCCTTGTTCACAAGTTTACCTTAATGTTTCCATACTTAGACTGCACCTCCGCAACAGTCTGCCCACCCTCCTTGTTTGTGCCTGAGGAGAGAAAGCAGTTGATGCTGTGATCTCTCTCTGCTCCTCCCTGCCTTCAGTGCCATTATTTTTCATCTCTTCTATCATTTCCATCATCTTTCCTCTTTGTATTCTTTTTCCATTCGCTCTTTCCAGGGACCAGTGTCATTGTAACATGTTTCTGTTTGGTAGGCCCTTTTTTTTTTTTTTTTTTTTTTTTGGTTTTTCGAGACAGGGTTTCTCTGTGTAGCTTTGGGCCTTTCCTGGAACTCGCTTTGGAGACCAGGCTGGCCTCGAACTCACAGAGATCCGCCTGGCTCTGCCTCCCGAGTGCTGGGATTAAAGGCGTGCGCCACCACCGCCCGGCTGGTAGGCCCTTTTGAGAGAGCACTGAATGGAGGAGGGGTTGGTTTGTTTTGTTATTGTTGTTTTTCCCCCTTCCTTTTTTCACATCTCCATTTCTGTTTCATTTCAGAGATTTACAAACGAGGACCACCTGGCAGTTCATAAACACAAGCATGAGATGACCCTGAAATTTGGCCCAGCCCGGACTGACTCAGTCATTATTGCAGGTATTTGCTGCCCTCGAAAGTCACATGCTTTGCTGTCACCCAACAGTTGAGATGAATTCCAGGGCCCAGACGTCCTGGGGGCCGCACTCCCTTTCTCACTAACAGATCCCTGGTTCCTACTACACCTTCATCCTATTTTTAATAGTATGCTTGTGTTCTGTGATTTTCGAGGATAGGTGTTTTGAGATTTTTGTCTTCACTTCTTTTCAGTCTATTCTCCCCTTGCCTTCTATTTATGAAGAGTTTGGAAGAGCTACAGACAAAAGACACCATTGACATATCTTCTTACGCACAGTGGAAGAGGTGAACAAAAGAAGGCAAAAAAGCTGCTTTAGCCTGGCGGCTTCTCTTCCACTGGATATCAGTTTTCCTCTCGCAGGCAGATTATCAGTTCAGAAATCAACTTCCCTTGTGAACTCAGACACCATTGAGGGCATATTTCCAAAACCCAAATAAGACATTTAGTCACTGGGACTTTCCTAAACCAGTTTGGATGACCTGGAACCTCTTTCCAGTTGCAGATATTGTTTGCACCATACTCAGGGGCATTCTTAGCGCTGTAGTAGTTCTTTTGTATGGTTTGCAGCTAGTGTGCAAAGTGCAGTCGGCTCTTTTTCTTGCTGCTGTAGGAGCTTCTAATTTAACCTGTGCCAAACAGATTTAGCTTAATATTTAATCAGTAGTGTATTTAGTTGATGGTTATTACATCAGTTAATAAACTAGTTAAATTATTTTAATACTTACTACTCGCAAAAATGTTACCTTAGACAAAGACTTGCCCTTTTACATCTCCAGCTCCTTATTAATTCAGCACATATTGAATAGCTACTCATCTGCTATATGGGCTAGTTACTTTCCTAGGAGCTTATAGATTTGTGATTTGTAATCCCTGGGAAAAGGATATGAGCAGGAACAATATCAATGATTTTTTAAAAGGCAGAGTCTCACTATATAGCTTTGGCTAGCCTGGAATTCAGTATGCAGATGAAGTTGGCCTGGAACTCATAGAGAACCACTTGCCTCTGCCTCCTGAGTGCTGGGGTTAAAGGCGTGCGCCACCACACCCTGCTGTATTTATTTTATATTATGAGGAAGGGGAGTGAATGTGAGTAGGTACCTGTGGAAGCTAGAGAGGGAATCAGATCCCCTGGAGCTGGAGTTACAGTTGTTTGTGAGCTGTCTGCTGTGGGTATAGGGAACCAAACTGGGGTCTTTTTGAAGAACAGTATGCACTCTTAACTACTGAGTCACCTAGCCATCCACCCCTTTTTGAAACTGGATCTCACTGTGTAGCCCAGGCTCAACTGGAATTTGAAATTGTCTTTCATTTACTTCCTGGAAGCTGGGATTATCAGTGTAAGCCACTGTATTTGACAGAGAAAATGTTTTCTACTCTTTGCATTCAGTTCTGGGGTGCTCAAACCAATGCATGGGACTTCAACTTTCCTGTGTAGGCAGGTGATTGTATCTCCTGTTAAGACACAGTATAGGTATGCCGTATATATTCCAACTCCTTATTAGACACCATGAGTTGGCTGTAACTCATATCTTCATTGCAGTGACTGAGCATGTCTCCTAAAGCAGCCCCTTCTCTGGTACTCACTGGTACCAGTGTTCTCAGTGCTGAGTTGTTTTATTTTTTTCTCTCAGTCTTCTCTGTTCTAGTCCTTCCATTTATCAGCCAGCATCCTATCACTGAGCAAAACTTGAGAAAAATCATCTTGTAAGTAAAAAAAGTTTGAGCAGGGTGTGGTGGTATATGCCTGCAATCTTTTTTTTTTTTGTTTTTTTTGTTTTTTTGTTTTTTTGTTTTTCGAGACAGGGTTTCTCTGTGTAGCTTTGCGCCTTTCCTGGAACTCACTTGGTAGCCCAGGCTGGCCTCGAACTCACAGAGATCCGCCTGACTCTGCCTCCCGAGTGCTGGGATTAAAGGCGTGCGCCACCACCGCCCGGCTGTGCCTGCAATCTTAAGCACTTGGGAAGTAGAAGCAAGAAAAGCTGAAGTTGAAGACCATACTCAGCTACATAGCAAGTTAAAGGCTAGCCTGGGCTATATCAAAAAGGAGAGAGAAAAAGAAAATGAGAGACAGAGAGATGGGAGATTACTTTGGCTCAGTTTTGGAGGCTTCTGTCCGTGGTCAGTTGGCACATTACATTGTTGAGTATGTGAAAGAAAAAGCTGTTCTTTCGGCTAGGTCATCAAAGAGACAAAAGAGAACAGAAGCCCACAGTTCCCTTCAAGGGAATGCTCCTAATGACCTAAAGTTTCCCATTGGATTCTATCTCTTACAGGTCCCATACCACCAAGGACTTGAGACCCAGCAGTTTACGCATGGATATTTGGGCGGCATACAAACCATAGTAGTCCTCTTCTTCCTAACACCAATCCCATTATGCTTGTATTCCTTTGATGTTGCTTCACTGGCCTTAATGGTCTCATTCTTCTCCATCTGGCAAGCTTTTAAAAAGCTAATCTTTACATTCTGTTCTTATGGTCACAATCTATCATTATGCTTTCTCTTTCTCTTTAAGGTTAACTTATACCTACCTGGCTTTCCAGTATTTCTATAACCTAGCCCCATGGAACTTACCCAATTTTTTTTTTTTTTTCAGAGACAGGGTTTCTCTGTGTAGCTTTGGAGCCTTTCCTGGAACTCACTCTGTAGCCCAGACTGGCCTCAAACTCGTAGAGATCTGCCTGGCTCTGCCTCCCGAGTGCTGGGATCAAAGGCGTGCGCCACCACCACCTGGTGTACTTACCCAGTTTCATATGCAAGTTATATGCATAAAAAGACAGTCTTGAGCCAGATGATGATGATGGCACATGCCTTTAATCCCAGCACTAAGGAGTCAGGGGCAAGCAGATCTCTGTTAATTTGAGGTCAGCCTGGTCTACAGAGCAAGTTCCAGGACAGGCTCCAGAGTTACATAGAGAAACCCTGTCTCGAAAAAAAAAAATATATATATGATCTTTACACCTGAACATATTGTTTTCTCCTAATCATGTGTCATGACCATTTCTTGACTTTCTCTATGCCCTCACCAGCATTATTCCTCTTCGCTCTTAAAATTTCTCTTCCCTCTATAGTTCCAAAACCATTTCCAAGGCTTATCTCAAATCTTGCTTGAAATCTTTCCTAACAACCCTAGTAGTTAATGTGTATTTGTTTTTATAATAATTTCATTCTGCATCTCAAATAGTGTAGTGCTAGCTACATATATTAGTTTTGTTTCCTTAACTAAGAAGCATTCTCTTAATTCTCTATAGAAAGATCCATGTCTTATGTTTGGTCTATACCCTTATCTCCTCCAAATATGCATCCAAGTTTATGGATATAACACTAAAACATACATAAGTGGTCAGTAAACACTTAAGAATCATCAGAACAGACTAGGTTTATTTATATATTTTTAGATTGTTTAGGAACCAGAAGCAGTTGAAGGTTAGAAGCCACCTGGAAGATGAAGAATTAGGTTTAGTGCACAGGAGATTTCTTTTTTTGTTTGTTTGTTTGTTTTGTTTTTCAAGACAGGGTTTCTCTGTGTAGCTTTGGCTGTCCTGGAACTCACTATGTAGACCAAGCTAGCCTCAAACTCACAGAGATTCACCTGTCTCTGCTTCCCAAGTGCTGGGATTAAAGGTGTGTGCCACCACTGCCCAGCCAGGGGAGATTTTAAAATTAAGCCAAGAAATGAGCCTGGGCAGCAGGATATAAGAGAAGTTTGTGTGACTCAAACCAGAAGTGTCAGAGTTCTTCTTCTGTCAGCACTCTACTTCGAGTTGCCCCTTGTGTTCCACGTGAGTTGTGCTATATGTGTGTGCCCTTACTGAGGATACCACCTCTCCTCACTCTGATGTGGAAAGTGGCTTTATCTTTAGCCAACCAAAGTGGCCAAAGAACCTTTTAAAACTATTTTAGGTGGTAGTGGTAATATTTCTAAACACTCTGATTCAGAAGAGGTTTTATTTAAGTTTTTAAAAAGAAAAATGTTTCCATGGAAAAATCACACTGGACTATTTCCAATTAATCATGCTAAAAGGAACAGTTTTAACCCCTAGGTCTTTCCTTAAAATATAACTGAAACATTATTCCATCAGTCAGTCTAGTTGTTTGGAATAGATGAATTCTTAAGGTAATAAACACATCAAAGAAAACCATCATAATCGAATTAGGGGCCCAGGGAACAAGGCTTAACTTTATCAAAGCAGGGGAGAGAGAGACAAGCTAAGATCTGAAGTTTGAGTTACTTGAAAAATTCCTGTAGTTCATAAAGAGGTTTCACCTCCTTAAGAGCAGTGAAGCCAGTCTTTGTGGCACATTCCTGTAATCCCAGCACTTGGGAGGTAGAGGCAAGAAGACTGTAAATTCCAGGATAACCTGGGCTTTTCTCCAAAAAAAGAAAAGAAAAAGCAGAGGCAGTGTGTTGAGGAAAAGTTTTGCACAGCCCCTGTGGGGATATTTTGACCAGCAAATCTAAACCAAATAGCCCGGTTTCCGGGATTTGCTCTGGGCCAGTGTCTCTGAAATAAGCCCTATTGTTTGTAGTTTCCTTTTGTGACTCGTGATATTACTGTCTTGCTCCCTAGTCCCTAGATCTGCTTAGAATGGCTTCAGAAAGGAACAGACCTCAGTGAAAGGCAGACACCGTTCCTTATTCGGTAGCTTTAGTGAGCAAACTCAGCAGTCTAATCCTCAGTTTGTTCTCTCTGTCAGATTTTAACACCCATCTGATTCTATATACTCACAGCAGACCTGGCAGGGTGTGTGTTGAGAAGGGAAACAGTGCTTAACTTTGCTTAACTTTAATTTTCAAATCTAGAGGTTTCATGAATCTTTACATTTTTTTTTTTTTTTTTTTTTTTTTTTTTCGAGACAGGGTTTCTCTGTGTAGCTTTGCGCCTTTCCTGGAACTCACTTGGTAGCCCAGGCTGGCCTCGAACTCACAGAGATCTGCCTGCCTCTGCCTCCCGAGTGTTGGGATTAAAGGTGTGCGCCACCAGCGCCTGGCCCGAATCTTTACTTTCATGAGTGCTTTGTTTTATTGGGGTTGTGTTTTCACTGGGGGTGAAAGATATAAATCCAGCATTAAGAGAAGGTGAGCATGTGGCTAGTCACACAGAACATTGTCCTGTTTTTCCCCAGCTGGCCCCGAGACAACACAACACAGACACTCTCTGGTAGCTTAGAACCACCATCCATCCACTAAAACTCAAAAAAGCCCATTTACCCCAACATAGACTCTTCATCTCCAAACAGAAGAATAAAAGTACAATCTCTGTGCACTCTCATTTTAATCTTGTATTAAAACTAAAACACATTTCCTTTTCTTTTTATGTCTACAGATCAAACGCCTACTCCGACTAGATTCCTGAAGAACTGTGAGGAGGTGGGGCTCTTCAATGAACTGGCTAGTTCCTTTGAACATGAATTTAAGAAAGCTGCAGATGAAGATGAAAAAAAGGTAAGTGTGACTAAAAAAATATTGGTCGTGGTTAGACTCAGGCTGTTTTCATTGTGCCTTGAGATAATTTGCTTGACTGGTTAAAATCCCAAATCATGGAATTAGTTCTATAAAATTAGATAGTACTCAGTAAGCCTAGCCACTCATCCAGGTCTTAGGGGCAAAGGTAAGACAGGTCTCACCATGGAATTGGGGATAGCCTCTATGTCACTTTGTAGTCCAGGAAGACCTCAAGCTCATGGTGATCCCCTTGCTTCATTTTATCAAGGCCTGGGCTGACAAGCATGTGCTATCACATTTAACATCAGGGAGATGCTAACATCTACCATCAGTTGTGGGTGCTGGGGTCTTAACTCAGATCATAATTACTTTTCTGACAGTCCCCTTAGTAATCTATTTGTTTCCCTTGTCAGTATGTGGAAGATGTTAAAAGAATATGACAGGACTAGAGAGATGGCTCAGTGGTTAAAAGTGCTTGTTGCTCTTACAGAGGAACCAAATTCAGTTCCCAACAGCCATGCTGGCAGCTCACAACCACTCCAGGAAGTCTGGCACACACTTCTGGCTTCCTGTAGCATGAATATACACATATTGTACACATAAATAATAACAAAAGTTTTGAAGAATATGAATTGGGAGGTTGAGAGAGGATTATGAAAGATTCAAAGTCAGACCGTGCTATATAGTAAGTTCCAGGTCAGCTTAAACTACAGAGACACTGACTCAAACAACCAAACAAAAGTATGAGTTACTCAGATTTTATTAGGTAATTTTTTTTTTTGCCAATTTTCTTTGGGGGTGGCTAGAGATATAGCTCAGTGGTAGAGTGCTAACACATGCAAAGGCCTGAGCTCACACACCCCCACCCCAGTTTAAGAAAACAAGTACCACTGTTTATAAACTGATTGGGCAGTTTTTTGTTTTTTTTGTTTGTTTGTTTTTGGTTTTGGTTTTTTCGAGACAGTGTTTCTCTGTGTAGCTTTGCGCCTTTTCCTGGAACTCACTTGGTAGCCCAGGCTGGCCTCGAACTCACAGAGATCTGCCTGGCTCTGCCTCCCCAGTGCTGGGATTAAAGGCGTGCGCCACCACCGCCCGGCTGGGCAGTTTTTTATTCATTCATTATTGGTGAAATTATTAAGGCCACTCCACAGAGTTAAAAGGAGATTATTTAATGGCGTAACTTACAAATTAAGGGATAGGTAGATCGAGGGGTCTGGGGAAGGTGTATCGCGGTCCAGCGGTATTCTCTGGAGCTCTGCTCGGTCCACCTCCACCGTTCAGGGTCCCGGAACAGACAGAGCGCTGGCCCATTCAGATCTCGGGTCTCCAGGCGCCTCCCTTGTCCCCGCCTTATAGGCGTGACAGTTGCCGAAGTCTCAATGGGGGTTGGAACTTCCAGATCAAAGCTGGAATGGCTACCCACTACAGTTCATTCATTCATTCATCCATTCACTTTTTTTGAGACAGAGTCTCACTGCTATGTAGCCCTGGCTGGCCTCAAATTCATAGACATCTACCTGCCTCTGCCTCTTGAGTGCTGGGATTAAAGACTCACTTGTGTTATTTTTATTCAGTTTTCCAGCCAACTAATGTGTTCAATTTCCTCTCTTTTTTGTTTCCCTATGTGTGGTTTTGCATTCAAGTAGCTTCCTAGTGCTACTTGATAATACCTAGAGCAGTGGTTCTCAACCTTCCTAATGCTGTGACCCTTTAGTACAGTTCCTTGTGTTGTGGTGACCCCCAGCCATAAAACTATTTCCATTGCTACTTCATAACTGTAATTTTGCTACTATTGTGAAATGTAATGTAAATATCTAGTATGCAGGATGTCTGAATATTCAACTCCTGTGAAAGGGTTGTCAATCCCCAAATGATCCACAGGTTGAGAACCACTGACCTAGTGCATTAAAGAAAAATGTTTTTAGCTGAGTGTGATGGCACACATATATATTTGCCACACTGAAGAGGCTGAGGCAGGAGGATCACCACAAGTTTGAGACTATCTCAAAATAAAATAAGGTTGTTCTATGCTGGGCAGTGGTGGCGCACGCCTTTAATCCCAGCACTCGAGAGGCAGAGGCAGGCGGATCTCTGTGATTTTGAGGACAGCCTGGACTACAGAGCAAGTTCCAGGACAGCCAAGGCTACACAGAGAAACCCTGTCTCAACTCCTGGTCTTTGTATGTCAGCCTTCCAAGTGCCGGGATTACATTTATACACCACACCTGGCGTATCAAACTCAATAGGCACACTCAAGAAAAATAACTTCCCTGGGTTGGCAAGATGCAGATCAAGCACTCACTACCAAACCGATGATCTGAGTTTGATCTCAAGACCCACACGGTGAAAGGGGATAATTGGAAGTAGAGAGATGACTTAGCAGGTAAAAGCACTTGCTGCTGGGTTTGATTCCCAGCACCCACCTGGTGGCTTAAAACCATCTGTAACTCCAGTTCCAGGGGATCCAACACCCTCTTCTGGCCTCCTTGGGCACCAGGCACACAAATGGTTCACAAACATGCATGCAAGCAAAACATACATACACATAAAATAAGAAACGAAGGAGAGAACTGACTCTCAAAAGTTGTCTTACAACTTTCACATGCACACCGTAGCACACACGTGATCACAGACCTGTACACACACTAAATAAATAAGATGAAGAAAGAAATAGAATTTAAAAATTTTGAAGTTTTCCTGCTTCACTGCTTTATCTTTCCTGCTGACATTTTCAGTTCACTTGACACTTTCCTTAGTGTCCTTTGGTGTTTCTCTCTGTCTGTTCAGGGGTGGTCTTTACTTCCCCTTGATGAGAAGCACAGATGTAGTGGAATATTATCTCCAGGGGTATTTAATGATCCTGAAACTTGCCTGAACCACAATTTTTATAAGAGATGCCTCCTGGGAATTCTTTTTTTTTTTTTTTTTTTTTTTTTTTGGTTTTTCGAGACAGGGTTTCTCTGTGTAGCTTTGCGCCTTTCCTGGAACTCACTTTGTAGACCAGGCTGGCCTCAAACTCACAGAGATCCACCTGGCTCTGCCTCCCGAGTGCTGGGATTAAAGGCGTGCGCCACCACCGCCCGGCTGCCTCTTGGGAATTCTAAAGGAAAGTTGTTTTTTCTTAGCAGCTTCCCTTCCCATCATTGTTTCTCAGAATGAGCTGAATTGGCTCTGACATATAGCAATGTAGAAAAAGTGAAGCAGAAATAAAATTCTTTGGTGTTTCTCACTCTTATCAAGTGGAGCAGAACCATTGCTACCTCTTTATTACAATACTGTGTAGCTAGAGTTTTTCTGCCTTGCCCACAGTCAGGACAAATCTTTGTCACCCACCAGTCCCACAGCTGCTCAGATCCAACCAAGTAAACACAGAGACTTATATTGCTTACAAACTGTATGGCCGTGGCAGGCCTCTTGCTAACTGTTCTTACAGCTTAAATTAATCCATTTCCATAAATCTATACCTTGCCATGTGGCTTGTGGCTTACCGGCATCTTCACATGCTGCTTGTCATGGCGGCAGCTGGCAGTGACTCCTTCCGCCTTCCTGTTCTTTTCTCCTCTCTGTTAGTCCCGCCTATACTTCCTGCCTAGCCACTGGCCAATCAGTGTTTTATTTATTGACCAATCAGAGTAATTTGACATACAGACCATCCCACAGCACAATACACTGAATTAGTTTGCTGTCGAGGCTTCCAGAGGTTAAGGTAGCAAGTGATGGTGCACACCTGTTATCCTAGCACTTGGGACATGGAGGTAGAGAGATCATAAGTTCAAGGCTAGCCTAAGCTACCTAGTTGGGACCATGTCTGGGGTTGGGTAAGGAAGGGGTAGGAACAAACTCCCCTTTAACCAAAAAGCCTAGGATACAGGAAGAAGAGAACAAAGACTCTACTTTGACATGAAACTGAACTGCAAGGCCAACCTTTTTGTCATGGTACAACGTCAGGGTTGTTATCTCAGATGGTATACTATCCCCTGCAAAGCCGTTTATAGCTCCAGTTAAGTCAGGTAGTTTTGTGACTCGGCCAGTCTACATGAAGCACGAGTCCACATTTCTTTGGCATTTGCAGTTCAGTGCTTTGACCAAGAGCTGAACTCGGTGAGGCAAATGCCCTTATCTGTTCACAAGCATCGTGAAACTGAATCCCATTTACTGTTTTCCCAACAGGGTGCTGCTGGGCCTCTTGACATGTCTCTGCCTTCTACCCCAGACATCAAAATCAAGGAGGAGGAGCCGGTGGAGGTGGACTCATCGCCCCCCGACAGTCCTGCCTCCAGCCCCTGTTCCCCACCACTGAAGGAGAAGGTAAAATTGTCTCCCAGAAGTCATCCCCAATGTTCATTTTGATCTATAAATGGTATGAGAAGGACTGATTGGATTCAAAAGAATGAATGTTCTTTTCTTTCCTCTTTTAGTTTCTTCTCTCCCCCTTACCCCTGCCATTTTTTAACAGCATCTCATTGATGTAGCCCAGGCTGGATGTGAACTTAACCTCCTGCCCTAGTCTTCAAAGTGCTAGGATTATGGATGTGTATTTCTATACATAGTTTGAAAAGAATCTTAAATAGTTAAGCTGTGTAAATAAATTACACCTATTCAGTCATCCATCAATTATACTTCCAACTCTAAATTGAAAAGAGTTTAGTTTGTATGTGTACTAATAGAAATAAGTAAGAATGTTCATAGAAATTTTATTCATTTTTTTTTTTAAAGTGTCTGGGAGCTGGAGAGAGAGCTTAGTAGGTAAAAGTGCTTGTTATACAAGCATGTGAACTCAAGTTCAGATCCAGAACATCCAGGTAAACATACTACCCAGGTACAGTAGTATGTGCCTATAATTCAAGTGCTCCTGGTGTGAGATGGCAGGTACAGACAGATGGAAAAATACCCCTGGAAGCTACCTAGTCTGGTGTTTATAGTGGTAAAAGAAGAGCCCCTGTCTCAAAATAAGAGTGAAGGGGAGGACCAGACCCAGTAGTTGTCCCCTGACCTCCACATGACCACATTCACACACAAACATACATATACCACATACATACTTGTAGGTAGAAGTTTCTGTCCCACCACTTCCCAAATAACCAACATGGAGACTTAATATTAATTACAAATGTTCAGCTAATAGCTCAAGCTTGTTACTAGCTAGCTCTTACAGTTATGTTAACCCATATTTCTTATCTATGCTTTGCCACATGGCTTGGTACCTTTTTTCAGTGTGGCATGCCCATCTTGTTTCTCTCTCTGCATCTCTGGCGACTCCCCTGACTCCACCCTTCTTCATCCCAGAATTCTCCTAGTCTGGCTCTCCTGCCTAAACTTATTTTGTTCAGCTATTGGCCAGTCAGCTCTTTTTTTTTTTTTTTTTTTTTTTTGGTTTTTCGAGACAGGGTTTCTCTGTGTAGCTTTGCGCCTTTCCTGGAACTCACTTGGTAGCCCAGGCTGGCCTCGAACTCACAGAGATCTGCCTGGCTCTGCCTCCCAAGTGCTGGGATTAAAGGCGTGCGCCACCACCGCCCGGCCCAGTCAGCTTCTTTATTAAACCAATCACAGTGACATATATTCACACAGTGTAAAGGAATATTTCACAGTACATACTAAGATTAGAAGGGAGATGAGAACATTCCAAGTATCAATCAACCAAAACAATGAATAATAGAGGCTGATGGTATAGCTCAGGGATGGCACTTGCTTAGTGTTTACAATGGCCTGGATTCTATCCCAGTAACAAACAAATAGCGATATATTTCTAAAGTGGAATATGATATATGTGGCATTGGATGAACTAGGCTGAGGATGAAATTTAGTGGTAGAGCATCTGCCTATCCTATGTAAGGTTATGGGCCCAATCCTGAGTACCACAAAAAGAAAGAGGAGAGAGGGGCGGGGAGGAATGAAGGAAAGGTGGGTAGATAGATGGTTGGAAGGAATACATAGCAATATACATAAATTTCACAAACATTGAATAACAAAAAAGACACAAAAGTACATACTGCATGGTTCCATTTACAGGAGGTCCAAGAAGATGTAAAATTATTTGATGGAAGATCTCAGAATAGTGTGGTGGTGTACACCTGCAGTGCCCACTGCTAGCAAGGGTGAGATGGGAGGATCACTTGAGCCTCAGGAATTTGAGACCAGCCTGGGGAACACAGCAAGATGCTATCACAAAGAGGATCCCATGAAGGGGACAAAAAGAGAAAGAGGATAAATAGAATAGTGAGCACCTCTCATGATGGAAGAGTGTGAATTAGGAAAAGACACAGGGACGTCTTCTTGGGTGCTGGAAATGGTCTCCATCTTGATTTTGCTTGTGCAAAAGTAATTTCATTGTAATGACTTTAGAGTAGTTGTACTTCAGTAAGTAAAAAAGAAGTCAGGTATGGTTGCACATGCTTTTAATTACAGCACTTGGGGGTCAAAGGTAGGTGGACCTCTGTGAGTTTAAGGCCAGCCTGTTTTATATAGTGAATTCTGAGTCAGGGCTATGTAGTAAGAACCTGCATTTTTGTTTTTTAAAAAGAAAGAAAGAAAATAAAGAAAGAGAAACTAGGCATGGTGATACACACCTAACATCCCAACACTTGGGAGGTGGAGACAGAAAGATCAGGAGTTCTGGGTTATTTTTGGTTTCTTGGTGAGTTCAAAGCCAGCCTAAATTGGGCTGCAGAAGAGCTTGTCTCAAAGAAAAAATAAAAAGGCCAGCAAAGATGGCTCAGCAGGTAAAGGTATCTTCTGACAACTTGAGTTTGAGCCCCAGTACCTGCATGATGCAAGGAAAGAACTAACTTCTGTAAGTTGTCCTCTAATTTCCACAAGCCTCCAACCACAAATAAATAAGTAAATGTATTTTTTAGTAGAAAAAGATAAAACCAGCCGGGCGGTGGTGGCGCACGTCTTTAATCCCAGCACTCGGGAGGCAGAGCCAGGCGGATCTCTGTGAGTTCGAGGCCAGCCTGGTCTACAAAGCGAGTTCCAGGAAAGGCACAAAGCTACACAGAGAAACCCTGTCTCGAAAAAAAAAAAAAAAAAAAAAAAGATAAAACCGTGTAATTCATTGGTTACACATGTTAATCATTTAGTTAGGGTGACTATTGCTGTGAGGAAGCACCACGACCAAAGCAACTTAGGGAGGAAAGGGTGTGTTTGGCTTTCACTCCACACCACAGTTCATCATCAAAGGAAGTCAGGACAGGAACTCACACAGGGCAGGAACCTGGAGGCAGGAACTGATGCAGAAGCCATGGGGGAGTGCTGCTCACTGGCTTGCTCCTCATGACTTACTCAGCCTGCTTTCTTGTAGAACCCAGGACCACCAGCCCAGGGATGACCCCACCCACAATGGAACGGACCCTCCCCCATCAATCACTAATTTTAAAAAAATGCTGTGCAGGCTTGCCTATAACCAGATCTTAGGGAGGCATTCCCTCCTTTCAAATAACTCTAGCTTGTGTCAAGTTGACATAAAAGTATCCAGCACAAGACATTAAACTATTAGGAAAAAAATCCTCCCAGAGGGAAATAACTTAAAGGGATTATTTGTTAGAGTATTTACTTTTGGTTGTTGTTTTGTTTTAAACTTTTTTTTTTTTTTGAGATAGTCTCATAATGTAGCCCAGGCTGCACTTCAACTCACAATAATGCTCCTGCCTCAGCTTTCCAAGTGCTGCAATACAGGCGTCCTCCACCACACCTGGCTCATTTTGTTTTGGTTTGGTTTAGTTTCTCTGTGTAACCCTGGCTGTCCTAGAACTCACTCTGTAGACCAGGCTGGCCTCAAACTCAGAGATTTGCCTGCCTCTGCCTCTACTGGGATTACAGGCATGCACCACCATACAGAATATCTATACATTGTCTTGCTTGTCTTCAAATTTGACTTAAGTTCTCAAAGCTACCTTCTCCATAAACATTAGCCATCTCCCTCCCTCCCCTTTCTTTTTTTTTTTTTTTTTTTTTTTTTCCGAGACAGGGTTTCTCTGTGTAGCTTTGCACCTTTCCTGGAACTCACTTGGTAGCCCAGGCTGGCCTCGAACTCACAGAGATCCGCCTGGCTCTGCCTCCCGAGTGCTGGGATTAAAGGCGTGCGCCACCACCGCCCGGCTCCCTCTCCCTCCCCTTTCTATAGGCAGCTAATTTCTGGAGACTATCTAGAAATGCTTTCAAGACCAGTATGGCCACTGACAGTCTTAAGATCCTAACTGGTTAACAGTGAGAAGCATTGTGTTTTATTTCAGTCTGATCGCTGTGTAAGCTTCTCAAGACCTTGTTTAATGAAGTCTGTTGGAAACACTGGATTGTCCCACCACCAGTATACCTTCTTTTCTCACTGGAGGTCACAGGACACTTCAGCACTATTTAAAATGAGAGTATTTATAGTGTAGAAAATCCCTACGATTTACATGATACTATAGTGTTATATAATATAACATTTCTTCAAAGATTTCAAATGATCTTAAATCATCGTTCCTGAGTGGGTGAGGTATGGGTACCTGACTGTGATGGAATTGGGTCATGTTTATTTATAACTAATGCCCTTTCAATGAAAGTACCCACTGTGTGTTTCCCTATACACAGTTCTTAAAGCATTTTGAAATTTCTTTTCTCCTCCCTAGGAAGTTGCCACAAAACCTGTTGTGATTTCTACCCCTACACCCACCATTGTACGTCCTGGCTCCTTGCCTCTCCACTTAGGTTATGATCCACTTCATCCAACTCTTCCTTCCCCAACCTCTGTCATCACACAGGCTCCACCATCTAACAGGCAAATGGGGTAAGTAGGAGAAAAAGAGAAACTGTGGAACCTGGATTTCCTTTGGTGTTTGGAAACAATTTTTCTGTGTAGCCCTGGCTTTCCTGAAACTGGCTCTGTAGACTGACCTGGCTTTGAACTCAGAGATCCGCCCGCCTCAGCCTCCCGAGTGCTGAAATTAAAGTGTGTGCCACCACCACTTGGCCTTTTTTTTAAGATTTATTTTTAATTATCTTTTAAAATTGTGTGTAGATGTGTATGACTTCCTCTGGGTATGTTCACATAATTACAGGTGTCCCACAGAGACCAGAGGCACTGTCAGATCCCTAGGAGCTGGAGTTGTGAGCTGCCCGATGTGGATGCTGTAAACTGAACTTATCTCTTTTGTAATATATGAAGAACCATCTCCAGCCCTTCTGAATCTCTATGTTTTGAAATATTTTGATAAAAATAGAAACTGTTCTATTGTTGTTATCAGATTTTTTGAGACAGTCTTTCTAAGTAGCCAATCATCCTACTTCTGCCTCCTGATTGCAAGGATTATAGGTATATGCTACTGAAGCTGGCTCCAGGAATTTATTTTTACATGTCCAAGAAAATGAGTTATTAAGATTGTTTCCAAAAATAAAACATTTTCAAAAAACTTATTTGCTGGAGCAGATGTTTGTTTAATCTTCCCAAATTCCTAATCGAGTTACCTCCCAGCCAATAAATGTGATTAATTTGAAAGGTTTAAGGTTTCCGCCAGACTGTGGGACTGGAAATGTAGCTCAGTAGTAGAGCACTTCCTCAGCATGTCTAAGGCCCTATTCATCCCAGCACCAAAAAAACCACCAAATCTTTGCAGGCTAAGGCAAGTAGACTAGGACTTGCCTGACGTGTTCTAAGGTACTTTTGTTAAAACCCTAGCGGGGAAAAAAAAAACCACACTGCCATTTTTCTCTGTTTTTCCTATGTTCAATAGGATGTCAAAATTTTATAGTGCTGCTCTATACCTTCCCTAATGAGAAGACTATAAAAAAAATCTTCTAATTATAGGAGGAAGACCAATAGGCAAAAGGTCAAGATTGTGACATTTCTCTTCCTGTCCCTACAGATCTCCTACTGGCTCCCTCCCTCTTGTCATGCATCTTGCTAATGGACAGACCATGCCTGTGCTGCCAGGGCCTCCAGTACAGATGCCTTCTGTTATTTCGGTAAGCTTTGTAGTTGGGGTAGCCAAACCTACCAGCACACTGATCCCTCCCTTCACATGAATGGTCATAACCAGAGGACCCCCAGGGAAATGTGGGCCTGGACTGTATCAGTTGTGTATGGCAGTCTGCCCAAACTCTTCACTACACTCTGCCAGTCCAACACTGTGAAACACTAGACAAAGACTCATCTGGACAATTGGCTTCCAGTCAAGGAGCTAATCCTGCCAACATGCGGACTGGCTGATTTCACTTGGCACATAGTTTCTCCAGCATTGCTCACCACTTTCCTGAAGATACACCCCCAGCCTTTCCCACAGAAAATGTCTCCACGCTAAAGAATGAGACTCTTTACTCTGTTACACTCCTTAGGGAAGGTATTTCCCAGGCTGTTCTGCAGACCTGTGAGCAGATTACATAGGACAGACCCTGACATGCCAATCTCAAAAACACTTCATTTGGGGAAAACCAGCCGGGCGGTGGTGGCGCACGCCTTTAATCCCAGCACTGGGGAGGCAGAGCCAGGTGGATCTCTGTGAGTTTGAGGCCAGTCTGGGCTACAGAGTGAGTTCCAGGAAAGGCACAAAGCTACACAGAGAAACCCTGTCTCAAAAAACAAAAAAAGCAAAAAACAAAAAACTTCATTTGGGGAAAACCAATACTACCATGTCTCCTTCTCTTGATTTAGCTGGCCAGACCTGTGTCCATGGTACCCAACATTCCTGGTATACCTGGCCCACCAGTTAACAGTAGTGGCTCCATTTCTCCATCTGGTCACCCTATGCCATCAGAAGCCAAGATGGTGAGTACATCCCAGCCCAGAGCAATGTTGGCCTTCTAAAAGAAGTAGTATCAGTCTGGATTTTTCAAGTGAACTGAGCAAAGGAGCCTTCTGAAGCTGCATACCTAAAGACATCCTGCTGTGGGGCTTGGAAAAGAAAAGACCCCGATTCCTAAGTCTCCTGTCCCCACCCATGCAGCTTGGCACAGGTCATGGCACAGGAAGAAGCAGCACAGATTGTTTGGAATGGAACACTTGTCATTTCAGTTCCAGGGTGACAGATGGAGGGGGTGAGTGGGCAGGGGAGCTGGCCAAGTGGTGAATAGCTGTGTAACCAGCATCTGGCCAGGTTCCAAGAGAGAGCTTTCATCTGGGTCCTATTGCTTCTACAAGCCCCCATCCCCAGCTGTGCCCAGGATAGTAGCCAGGGGACGGAGCAGGCATTTCAAACTTCCAGGTGCACACTTTCTCTCCCTGTCATTGTCTTTTAGTTCCTCTGTTAAAAGAGAATTAGAGTGAGAATTTTAAGAATAAGGTCAGTAATAAAATACAAGTTCATCCTTTCTATCCTTGACAGATTCTCACCCTTAAACAATCTTTCCACACAGAGACTAAAAGCCACTCTGACCCACCAAGTCTCTTCAGTCAATGGAGGTTGTGGAATGGTGGTGGGTACTGCCAGCACCATGGTGACAGCCCGTCCAGAGCAGAACCAGATCCTCATCCAGCACCCTGATACCCCATCCCCTGCCCAGCCACAGGTCAGTTGCGTCCTTGGATGAGAGAAGAGATGTGTTGCCCTTATTCTTTATATTATATCTGTCTTTCAAGAAGCATGAACTGAACTTTATAAATTTAACTTTCTGGCTGTCCTGCTACCTTGGATGTTTTTGGTAGGTTGACTGCAGTGAAACAGACTATTTTTTTATCTACCTTTGTGTCAGACGTAAATGCAAGCAGCATGAAGTATACAGAGCTGTTGCAGAGAAAGCCTCGATTTTTTCCCATATATGAATGATAGCTTAATGTAGATTCTGAGCTGATGGGGACTCGCATTAAGCCACATCATGCACTAAACAAAGGAGGCCTCTGTATCTCTTGCATATCTGTTAAGTCTTAACCAAAAAAAGTTAGCAGTTACCTGACTAGATTTTACAACACAAAGCATATTATAAAAATATATTAACACAATATGATGTTATAGTAGTAAAATATAGTTCATCAAAAGTAAGAAAACACAGAGAAAACCTCATTACCAATCCAATAGTACCTTTTTACCACAAAGAAATGAAAATTTAAAAAAAAATTTACAAGCCAGGAGAAGGTCCCATTTAGTTGCCCGATCTCTTCTCAAAGAGGTCTCCATTTTAATGCAATTCTTTAGGAACTGAATTGCTTTAGTTTTCATAATTGTCTGCACTGGACAGGTGACAATGACCTGGGATTGGTTTCTGAAGTTACATTCATTGCCCAGTCTCTCTTTTACTGATGTCACCACCTGCTTCATCAGTACTGCCACATGTCCAGACATTTCATGGCCATATGCTGCCTCAAACCTTGGCCAACAACACGAGCTTTCATTTGTGTTTTCTTCTTAAAAGCTAAGGCTTCCCACCATTCTGACCCCTCACTCCCCAAAGCCAGCCAGTCCTGGAGATAAAGTAGTAACCCTTACCTGAGCTAGACTTCTCCTCTTGGAGAAAGGATGTGGCTTCTTGTCAGTCACTGCTGAGTTCTCTTTCTCCTTTTTTATATCTAAGACAAGATTTCTCTGTGTTTCCCTAGCTGTCCTGGAAATCACTTTGTAGAACCAGGCTACCCTCAGCCTCGACCTTAAGAGATCCACCTGCCCTGCCTCCTAAATGCTAGGATTAAAGGTGTGCTAATCCACTGCCTGACCTGCCTCAGCCTTAATTACTGATATTCTGGAGAACATAATTCAGTAGAGCCTAAAGTAGATTTCCTTTTGTTGGTTTTTGGTTTTTTGAAACAGGGAGGGTCTCACTATGTAACTGAGTCCTATAACTCACTATGTAGACCAGGCTGGCCTCGAACTCACAGATATCCGCCTGCCTCTGCCTCCCAAGTGCTGGGATTAAAGTCATGCACCTTTCTTGTTGTTGTTGTAGCTCCAGCTTATCTTTATGCAGCTGATTACTAGCATTGGAAAAATACTAATATAGATATTCAAACTAAAAATTAGTTTAGGGGCCAGCAAGATGGATCAGTGAATAGAGATGCTTACCACCAAGGCTAACAACCTGAGTTCCATCTTCTGAACTCATATGAAGGTGAAAGGAGAGAACTGACTCTACTTGAACTTGTACTCTGACCTCTGCAGACACCATGGCATACACACATGCACACACATGTGATAATAACAGTATGATTTTTAATTTTAAAAAAGAATTTACTTTTGGCATGAAGTTGATGTACCTTCTCTGTATATATGTCAACTAATAGAATGGAAAGATAATCCAAAGTGCTTTAGTGCAAAGGATTTCACTTGGAGCTTAAAAAACAAAAGACCACCCAGTGGTGATGGTGGCAGTTGGTGGTGGCGGTGGCTGTGGCGGCGGCACACACCTTTAATCCCAGCACTTGGGAGAAAGAAGCAGGTGGATCTCTGTAAATTCAAGGCCAGCCTGGTCTACAGAGTGAGTTCCAGGACAGCCAAGGCTACACAGAGAAACCCTGTCTCAAAAAACAAAAACAAAAAAAGATGCTGTGTTAAAAAAGGAAAGAAGGGAAAGAGGGAGGGAAGAGAGAGCAAGTGGGCCTCGTGGCACAGCACTGTCATCCAGACTGCTTAGGGTAATCTCAAGAGTTCCAGCATTTGGGGATAGAGCCAGGAGGAGCAGGAGTTCAAGGTTTTCCAGGGCTCCATAGTGAGCGGAGGCCAGCATGGACTGTGGAAGGCCATGTGTCAGCCAACAGAAAGAGGAGTAGCATTGCAGCTCAAACCCTCGGTTCAGTTCCCAGACCCCAAAGAAGAAAACAGATCCAAACAAACTCCTAGTGATCCTAGTTTCATCTCTGTCTCAGAAATAGTCAGTCTCCATAAGAACTGTGGCTTTTCTCTATGTGTCCTGAGAGGACTGGGAGATGAAAGGCAGGGCGGGAAGCTAGGAGACACAGTGGTGAGACTTGGTGTAGCTACCAGACCTTACTTATCTACCTAACTCAGCTTTGATTTGGAAAGAAAAAATTATTTTCCCATCAAGTGCTTCTCTGCTCTGCCAAGTGACAAGTTAGAAATTGGTGCCTGTGAATCCCAACACTCTGGGTGCCTAAGCAGAAAGACCAAAATTCAGGGTCTGTCTGGGCTGTTCAAAGACAGACCAGAAAAAGGAAAAAAGTATTCTTCTTCTTTTCTGGGCAACAGGTCTCTCCAGCCCAGCCCACCCCTAGCACTGGGGGACGGCGGCGGCGCACAGTAGATGAAGACCCAGATGAGCGACGGCAGCGATTTTTAGAGCGAAACCGAGCTGCAGCCTCCCGATGCCGCCAAAAGCGGAAGCTGTGGGTGTCCTCCCTGGAAAAGAAGGCAGAAGAACTTACTTCTCAGAACATTCAGCTGAGTGTGAGTGGGTGACTGTTAGGATTGTAGAGTCTGGAGACAGTGCAGCAGTAGAACAGAGGATGGGTATTATTTAATTAGGTTAGATCTAGAAGTGTGATGGGAATTGTAAAGAGTCCCGTAACAGTCAGAATTGAAACCCTTCTCCTAGCAATTGAGAATGAGACTATCTCCTTCCAGATCTTCCACTAGCACAAGTCATTCAGAGACCCATTTGGAGGCTGGGGATATAGCCCAGACAAAATGCTCAGCAGTCAGAATGGAGAGAAGGCAGGAGTGGAGACAGACCCATCTGGATGAAGGAAGTCAGGTTAAGCACCCCATGTTGTGTTCTCTATCATAAGTAGAACCTGACTGGAGTTAGAGACTACCTAATGAGAAATGTATTTACTTCAGCTATTGTAGGTGTCTTAGCGTTTCTATTGCTGTGAAGAGACACCATGACCACAGCAACTCATAAAGGAAAACATTTAATTGGGGCTGGCTTATAGGTTTCAGAGATTTAGCCTATTATTGTCATGGTGGGAAGCGTGGCAGCACCCAGGCAGACATGGTGCTGAGAAGGAGCCAAGAGTTCTGCATCTGGATTGGCAGGCAGGAGGAAGAGAGTGAGAGCCACTAGGCCTGGCTTGAACTTTTGAACCTCAAAGCCCACCCCCACGGACACACTTCTTCCAACAAGACCACACCTTCTAATGGTGCCACTCCCTGTGGGCTTGTGGGGTCCATTTTTATTCAGACTACCACAATAGGTTAGTTAATAAAAGAAAAGAGAAAAAAAAAAAACTTGAACACAAACAGAATAATTATACTCCAAGCATTCTCTTACTATTCTCCCTCCTTTGGTTCTGTTTTTAAAGTGTCTTCTATGGGCCAGTGAGGTGACTCAGTAGATAATGTCACTGCCTCCCATCAAGCCTACAGCCCAAGTTCTGCCCTTGGGACTCACATAGTAAAATGAGAGAGCCTACCCCCAAACGTTGTCCTTTGATCTTCACACATGCCCACCCATATACATTTACACATTAAAAAAATAAATTTAAGAAGGGGTCAGTGGGATGCTCAGTGGTAAAGTGCTTATCACCAGGTCTGATGACTTGAATGTGATTTTCAGATCGCACTGCTTGTCCTCAGACTCACACACACATATACACTCTGTGATATGCACTCGTCTACACACATACACACAAAGTAAACTATGTTTAAAAAAGATATCTTATATCTTATATCTTATACATGTATGACAATTTCATACATGTATATAGTGGGTTTTTTGTTTGGGTTTTGGTTTGGGTTTTTTTTGTGTGTGTGTGTGGGTTATAGATGTAACTGTCTTATTAAATAAACACAGAGCCAAATACAGAGTTAAAAGCCCAAGAGGTCAGAGCAGTAGCTGAGAGCTGAGACTTAAAACTGCCTTTCTTACCCTTCGCTCCCACTATCGTCCTTCCCCTCAGAAAGAGACTTACTTCCTGTGTGTCTGTCTTTTTATTGACTTTCTGTTCTGCCTTCTCATTGGTTGTAAACCCAACCACATGTCCTTCTCATCACTGCTTGTCTATACAGACCTCTAGGTCTTCTATGGTTGGTATTGAGATTAAAGGCGAGTGTCTCCATGCTGGCTGTATCCTTGAACACACAGAGATCTGTCTGTCATGTGATCTGGATTAAAGGTGTGCACCACCACCGCCTGGCTTCTGCTATGGCTTGCTATTAGCTCTGACCCCCAGGCAACTTTATTTATTAACATACAATTAAAATCACATTTCAGTACAAATAAAATATCACCATAGTGGGTGATAGTTTTTCCTTTTTATTAAAATAGAAAAGGGGAAATATGGTGATATTTTATTTGTATTAAAATGTTATTTGTATGTTAATAAATAAAGTTGCCCGGGGGTCAGAGCTATTAGCAAGCCATAGGAAAGCAGGGCAGTGGTAGCGTACGCTTGTAATTCCAGCACTTAGTAGGCAGAGCTGGGTAAGTCTCTGTGTGTTCAGGGATACAGCCATTATTGGATACACATGCCTTTAATCTTAATACCAATCATGGAAAACCTGGAGGCCTATACAGACAGGCTGTGAGGAGGCGGTCATGTGGTTGGGTTTACAACCAATGAGAAGGCAGGACAGGAACTCTATATAAAGACTTTAACACAGGGGTAGCTCTGGTTCGGAGAGGTAGGACCACTGCAGGAGGAAGGGTAAGGTTTTGGCTCTTGGCTCTGACCTCTTGGCTTTCTTCTTTGCATTGGTTCTGTGTTTATTGTTTGATGGGAAGGTTGGATACATCTACAGGTTCTCCCTTCCCCCGAGACAGAGTTTCTCTGTGTAGCCCTGACTGTTCTGGAACTAGGTCTGTAGAGCAGGCTGGCTTTGAACTCACAAAGATCCACCACCTCTGCCTCCCGAGTGCTGGGATTAAAGGGGTGAGGCAACCACTGCCCAGGCTACATATTTTTTTATTTCTGGTTTTTGTGGTAGAGTTGGAGGGATTGTAGGTTGGTTTAAACATGAATGATTTTTTTTTTAAAGATTTATATATTTTGTATACAGCATGTATGACCAGAAGAGGGCACCAGATCTCATTACAGATGGTTATGAGCCACCATGTGGTTGCTGGGAGTTGAACTCAGGACCTCTGGAAGAGTGCTCTTAACCTCTGAGTCATCTCTCCAGCCCCCAAACATGATTGATTTAACAGTATTTCATGGAAACCTAGCAAAGGAGATGAAGGATTTACCTTGTTTTCTTTTTTGTTTGTTTTTTTTGGTTTTTTGTTTGTTTGTTTTGTTTTGTTTTTCTTTTTTGGAGCTGAGGACCAAACCCAGGGCCTTGCACTTGCTAGGCAAGCGCTCTACCACTGAGCTAAATTCCCCAACCTCTACTTTTTTTTTTTTTAAACAGCTATATATTATTACATTCTGAGTGTGTTAGGTTTTATGGGTCAGTGGACACTAACACTGTTGTAATTGTTCGTTAGAACAGTAGTGCTCCAGTAGACATTGCATGCACTTGAGTAAATAGTTTCATTGAAGAGCTTTCTAGTCTGGTGGTGGTGGTGCACACCTTTAATCCCAGCACTTGGGAGGCAGAGGCAGGGAGATTTCTGTGAGTTGGAGGCCAGCCTCGTCTAACCGAGAGTGTTCCAGGACAGCCAGGGCTATACAGAGAATCCTTGTCTTGAAAAAACCAGAGAGAGAGAGAGATTTCTAAGGCCAGCTTAGTGATTCATTCCTTTAATCCCAGCACTAAGGAGGCAGAGGCAGGCGGAGCTCTGTGAGTTCCAAACCAGCCTGGTCTACATAGGTTATTAACAGTCATTTTTCTTTTCCTGTTATGAGTCCTTACTTTTCATTGTAGACAGTTTCTGTCATTGACTTCATGACTATCCTGGCCCAGAGCTTTCTGAAGACTTGCCAGATCATGTCCCAGTTTGGAGAAGAATATCTAGACAACATTCTGCCCTTACACTAAGATAGTCACAATATTATGCTCAACAGAAGAATAGTTCTAAAGTTAATATTACAATAAATGGTTTGCTATAGACACCAAAAAAATCTAGTAAGTCCATCCAAATGTTTGCTGTAATGTTTGAGGAGTTTAAGACTAGAAGATGAATATTTTTAATAATCTTTTCTCCCCTCCCCCCCCCCCCCGCCCGCTTCAGAATGAAGTCACATTACTACGAAATGAGGTGGCTCAGTTGAAACAGCTGCTGTTAGCTCATAAAGACTGCCCTGTCACTGCACTACAGAAAAAAACTCAAGGCTACCTAGGTGAGTGGTTCACAACCTAAGCAAAACCAGTCAGTTGATAACCACAGGAATTGAGTGTATTGGCTCCTTACAATGCCATTCTTTGTGGCATATCAGTCCTACCAAAAAATAAATAAATAAGTAAAAAATTTTTTTCCTTATCTGTAATCTTAGCAAGCAAGAGGATCAGTTCAAGGTTCTCAATTATAGCCAAAGTCTGAGGCAAGCCTGAGCTACATGAAACTTTCTTTCAGATAAACAAATTAAAAAAAAAAAACTTTGACAGTAATGCAGAGTTATCATAATCATCTATAATAGTGGAGAGAAGGAGTAGCAGTATTTCCTGGGCCTGTTTTATCTAAGCACTCGACCATCCTCACAGTTCTCCCTTGAAGCAGCCATTCCATTTGTAAGTGAGAAAACTCAGATCATTTACCAGAAGTCACACACAGTAGGAAAGTGGTAGAGGTCTTCTGGTCCCAAATATAGTCTTGGCCTGGAGAAAAGATGAACAGCTGACAGTGCCTAGGAATTGAAGAATAGGGACTTAGGGCAGATTTCATCTTTATAATGATCATGGTTTCAGTTTGTAATCAGAGATATCCACAGAATTATGTTCAGCATTAGCGCTATTTAAAGTAAATATTATAATGAACAGTTTGTTATAGATAACAAAAACTAAAAATTGCTAATTTTCCTTTATAGATTAAATAAATGCTTAGAAATGTTGGATATAGCAAATAGTTTTTCCACTGATTGTCTTTATCATTTCAGAAATGTATTCTGAGAAAAATTTTAAGAATCTTTATTGAATTATTTATTTAAATTTTATTATGTACTCCAGGGTGCATTGATTTATTAAGCAAGTACTAACTAAGTTCCTGTTCTGTGCCAGGCACATACTGGGAATAACAGGAACCAAACCGATCAGGTTAGATCCTGTCCTTGAAAAACTTGTATTTAGTAGGTAAGACAAGTAAAAGAAGTAAGTGAAATATGTGGTCTGTAGTAAATGTAAAAACAAAAAATAATACAGCTGGGGACTGGAGAGGTTGCTCAGTGGGTAGAGCATTTCTGCTCTTGCTGAAGACCTGGGTTCAGTTTCCAACACTCAGTGTGGCAGCTCATAACTGCTTGTTACTCCATTTCCAGTTGATCTGATGCCTTCTTTTGGATGCCTCAGACACCAAGCAGATACATGGTTTATGGATGTATGTGTATCTCTGATTGCCCTTGAAAACTCTACGTAGACCAGGCTGCCCTTGAACTCACAGAGATCTGCCTGCCTCTGCCTCCAAAGTGCTGGGATTAAAAGCATACATCGCCATACCCAGCATCTTAGAATAATAATAACAATAATAATATAGCTGGATCGCTTCTCGGCCTTTTGGCTAAGATCAAGTGTCTTATCAGTTTAATAATATAGCTGGAAATGGTGCTACAAGAATGTAATCCCACCACCGAGGAAGCTGTGACAAGAGGGTCATAAAGTCAAGGCCATCCTGAGCGACACAGTGAGAGACCTTGTCTCAAAAACACAAAGAAAGATGGGATGGAAGGGTCAGGCATTGTGGTCCACACCTGTAGTCCCAGTACTCAGGAGGCAGAGATGGGAAGACCGCTACTACAAGTTCAGGGCCAACCTGATCCTCACCATGAATGCCAGGTCAGCCAGAGGTTTGAATACAGATGAACCTGCCTCAAATACAGACAAAGGGGCTAGTGTGACTGGATGGGGACAGTGTCATTGGAATGAGATGGAGAAACATCAGGAGCATTTCACATTCCGTCTTGGTGATAACAAAGGGCTTCAGCTTTTATATTGCAGACAGTGAAAGTGCAACATGAGAGATCTGATACTCTACTAGAGACATCAGGGGTGCACAGGCTGTCTACCTAGATCAACTATTTCAGATCCTCTTCATGGGCTAAAGAGGATAAAGACTGAGTGTTCTTCTGTATGTAGTCAATACGTAGTTTTCTATACAATCCCTGTAGTAACTCTGACTGGTAGTTAGTCCACTAAACTACTTATTTATTACAACAAAGATGTGTTTAATTATTACTTTGTAGCATCCACATTATATAGGTACTTACTTCTCAGAGACTCATGAGTCACTGTGAACCTATGCATGAGATGAGGACAGATACCCCAGTATATGGGCTCCTAGATTGGAGCTTCTGTGTATACTCCAGTGCCCTCCCATGTGGATGATGCTCAGGAAATGCCTGATAAGTAAATGAATGTGTGCGCTGAAGACAGGACAGTCTCCTGGGGATAACAAGGAAGTGTTGACAGAAGAAGCGGTGTTGGATCCCCTTGAATCCATTTGAACAATGACTCAGGCATTCGTCCAGAGGTCAGAGACACACCAAACACAGACATGGTGGTACACAACGATAATTAGAGCTCTTGGGAGGCAGAAGCAAGATTGAGAGTTTGAGCCATCTTGAGCTACATGAGACAATGTCACTAAAAAAAAAAAAAAATTGGAAATTTTCTGTAATTTCATATATCTGTTTAGTCAGCTATAGAGATTTAATAATTTAATTATTAAAATATTAAACTAGCATTTAATAAAACTCTTTGACTAGTTACCATACCTCTGTATGTAGCTCAGATATTATGTACACTGCCACTTCAGATGGAATGGTATAGTCCATAATAAATATTTTACGTCATCAGTGTATAGCTAATTGATAGGAGACTCTGACAGACTTTCTGTACTTTACCTGTTAACTTAATCTTGGCTATTTATAGCATCATTTGATTGTAAATTGGTACTTAGCAGGCTTAGATGTGGTGCCAACTACATGCTAGAGGAACATTTTTTAAAATGAAATGATTTAATTCCTTTGAGAATTAATAAGAGCAGATTAAGGAACCTATTTTAAATTGCTTTTGCGGCTGGTGAGACGGCTCAGCAGGTGAAGGCACTCAATGCCTAGCCTGAAGACCTGAGTCTGATCTCAGGGACCCACGTGGTAGAAGGAGAGAACAGACTCCTGACAGTTGTCCTTTGACGTCCACATGTATGCTTTGGCATGTGTGTGACCATACTCATAACAAACATGTATATACACAAAATAAATGTAAAATTTTAAAAAGTAATGGAAGAGAGATTCATTTTCTTCTATAAACAGAACAAGTTCAAAGATAATTTTAGATAATTCAGAATACCTTTAGCTTCTCCTCACTAAAAGTGATTTGTTAATCTGGCAGTGGTGGTGCACACCTTTAATCCCAGCACTCAGGTGGCAGAAGCTGGCGAATCTCCTAGTTTGAGGCCAGCCTAGTCTACAGAACAATTTCCAGGACAGCCAGGGATACACAGAGAAACCCTGTGATTTGTTGATTTTTTTTTTTTTTTTTAATTTTTTTGCAGCTGAGGACCGAACCCAGGGCCTTGTGCTTGCTAGGCAAGCGCTCTGCCACTGAGCTAAATCCCCAACCCCGATTTGTTGATTTCTGTAGCCAGTGAATCCACATCCCTTTAAAAGTTTTTCTTGGAGGAAACAAGTGGCTTTCACTGTGATAATAGATCGAGGACAGGCTTTAGAAAGGAGCTTTTACCCACCTAGGAATGAAAACACAGAAACCTCCTCTATCGGAGCCTATTAAATGTGATGCTGTGTCCAGCTTTGGCTCAGTTCTTGCTTCTTGTGTCTTCTTGTTCTCCGAGTCATTCATGACTTGAGGTCAGGATTCTCCAAGAAGAAATATAAGATTCATTTTCTTTTGTATTTGTAATTATGACAAAAGATGGTCCTTTCTGTCCCTCTGTCCTGTGTTCTGACCACTTGCTCTCTACTGTTTGCCCTCCTTCCTGGCAGAGAGTCCCAAGGAAAGCTCGGAGCCGACGGGTTCTCCAGCCCCAGTGATTCAGCACAGCTCTGCAACAGCCCCTAGCAACGGCCTCAGTGTTCGCTCTGCAGCTGAAGCTGTGGCCACCTCGGTCCTCACACAGATGGCCAGCCAAAGGACAGAACTGAGCATGCCCATACAGTCACATGTGATCATGACCCCACAGTCGCAGTCTGCGGGCAGATGATGCCTCCCATGATGGAGAGATCCCCAGCCAGAGCTCGCCCGCCTGAGCCAAGAGAGAGATCAACTTACCCCTCCCATCTGCCTTGGATGTGGCAGTATGGGAGAGGAGGAAATTGTGTGTTGTGAGTATGGACAGATGTGGGGCTTTTCTCTTTAGCCACATGATCATGTACGCTTGACACCTGTGCTAGGGGCTTCTGGCCCCAAAGCCACACAGATCATCCCCCAAGAGTGGGGTTTCTTATGTACCTACAGCCAAAGGCCTTTGCATATGGTCCGAGCAGTCATCCCTGGCCCTGATGCATGTGTACCTGTCTCTTAACACTAACCCTTGCGCTTGTAGGTTTGGGGTTTTTCAGTGTCCTCTCCTCCCAATTGAGCTGTGGCTGTTATCTTCTTATTCCTTACTAGCATGCCACTTCCTGCCAGATAGAGGGAGACTAGATTTGATGGCATGTTACTTGCTGTCTCGACCCCAGCCACCCCATGCACTCAGGACTTTGTCTCCCAATAGCTGCTTATTTATCTCTTTCCCCCTCCTCTTCCTAATTGCAGTGAAAACATTCACTTATTGAGAATGTAATACCTTTGATGTATGAAGTAGCAGTATTTTCCACCTCTTCCCTGTGCTTTATTCCTTATTCCCATCTGCTACCAAAAACAGACACAAACAAAAAAAAAAAGCAAAACTCTGAGAGTTTGAATCATTTTCATTTCCAAATCTATTGGGTACCTCATTTTGTCTCTTGACTTTCCTTAGTCTAGTGGTGGGGTCTTTCCTACCACCCCACTATGGCTTGGGAACCTCATCTTGTGGCCTTATTGTTAGTGGCAATGAAAAGGGAGAGAGCCTGGGATCTAACTGGGCTTCCCTGTCTCCTTCCCCACCCTCCAGTTCTAATCATCAGGGCAGACAGGAACAGTGTAATTTAAAACTCGTTCCATCAGGTTACTGGATTATCTAATTCTTTGGTGTTTTACAATAGTTTACTGGCTGAAGTCTACATACTGTCATCTTTGGTCATCTGTGTGCTCCCTCCTCTCCACTTTGTTCCCCTCTCCACATCACTGCCTTTCCCACCATCACTGCTTTAAATCAGCCCTCCTGGAGGTTCTCTTGTTCTGTGTTCCTCCTACAGCTCTCAGCCTCCCTTCTCTTCTGAGGTATGTCTTGTTCCTGCCAGTGTCCATCCCCTTCTCTGGAAACCTTCTTTCTCTCACCAGGTTCCTAGCCTAGCAGCCACTAGGTGTCTCTAGTTCTGAAATTTCTTTGAACTCTTTTTTTTTTTTTTGTTCTGAGCCCCACAAATGTTGTGCTTGTCCAAGGAACAGGCTCCAGGACTCTGAAACATTGTGGTCAAGGTCCTGAGTGGCTTTTGAGTATGAGTGAGTGGAGAGAGAAGAAGAAAATGTATAAACTCAACATAGTGCTCAGGATATGGCCTGTTTGTCTGGGAGATTGCTGACTGTGGCTATTGGCTCCCTTATTTGGTGGGATACAGGGAAAGAAATAACACCCCTCCTCTTCCTCGTCTCTCCTTGGCTCTGAACACTGCAGTCTCTTCCAGAGCCAGAGGCCTGTGGATAGATAGGTCAGCTTTAACAGCTCTGAGTAGAAAGCCGTCCCAGTTGTCCCAGAGCCACCTTCTGCCATCTGCTCAAGCCAGGAGTCTTCTTTTCTGCCTCCATCTTAAATGTACAGAGTAACTGCTTGCTTTCTTTTTTATTTTATCTTCCAAAACTCGTTGTCATGGAGGAATGAGAAAATGTTCTGTCTTACATGATTATTCTTCAGTTTAGACGAGGAGCCCATCCTGTGACATGTCCTCCCGCATTTTATGTTCCCTCCTCCTCTATCATCAGTGCTGAACAGGCCACACCCAGTGAACAAACAAAATGGTTTCCTCAACCTCTACCACCAGGGTCTCACCAGGAACGGCCCCTGAGGTGACAAGGCTAGCAGATGTCACCAGACGGTCAGAGCAGGCCACCATCTCCAGGGATTTCACTTGGCTTTAGAACCTCACAGCCATAGTTTGTGCTCAGGACTTACTCAGATGGCTGCTTCCTGGACTTTTTTTTTTTTTTCCTGTTTATAAATTTTGTTTCTTTTCTTTCTTTTTTTTCTTTTTTCTTTTTTTTAATGGCTTTTCAAGACAGGATTTCTCTGTATAGCCCTGGCTGTCCTGAACTCACTCTGTAGACCAGGCTGGCCTTGAACTCATAGAGAGCCACCTGCCTCTGCCTCCCCGAGTGCTAGGATTAAAAGTGCGAGCCACCACCGCCAGGCATCTTTTTTTTTTTTTTTGTCTTGACTTCCCACTAGCAGCCCTGCACTAAAGCATGAAAGAGTTTATGGCTCCTGAGGAGCCCTCACAGACCCTTGGCTATTTTTCTTCCTCCATCAGTCGAGGGTTTTTAAAGTTGCGAATCGGTCAGTGTCACTTCATATGTACCGAACAGTCTGCCCCTGTGTGGATGTCTAGTGTATGTGGAGGTTCTTTGTCACTTTCCTGACTCTCATGTCCGCTTCTCTTGAGTCTTTGTTTTCCTAGCAGGAAGTTAGTGCTGGGGACCTGAGTGATGCAGGGCACCATCAGAATGGTAGCAGGGAAGCAGCACTGAAATTAGGGGCAGGACAACCCCAGATACCTCTGTAGTTGGTTCTCAGTTCTGCTCTAAGAAAGCAGAGCAAGCCGGGCGGTGGTGGCGCACGCCTTTAATCCCAGCACTCGGGAGGCAGAGCCAGGCGAATCTCTGTGAGTTCGAGGCCAGCCTGGGCTACCAAGTGAGTTCCAGGAAAGGCGCAAAGCTACACAGAGAAACCCTGTCTCGAAAAACCAAAAAAAAAAAAAAAAAAAAAAAAAAAAAAAAAAAAAAAAAAAGAAAGCAGAGCAACTGCTTACAATAACACTTCTCTTATAGTCCTACATTATCGCTCCCAGTGGTCACCACCCTGAGCATCCTATGATGTGCCATAGAGGAGTCTCTGGTCATGGCTATTTGGGATTCTGAATGCTTCTTGTATTTGGATATCAATTTCTGTCTCTAGGTTTAGGAAATTTTGTGCTAAAATTTCATTAAATAATTTGACTATTACTTTTGAATTTATCTCAGGTCCTCCTTCTACCCCATGGGTTCTGAGGTTTGTTTGATCTTTTAAGTATATCCCAAGCTTTTTGGAAATGCTGCTCATGTTAATTTATGTGTGTGTGTGTGTGTGTGTGTCTGTGTCTGAGTATTATTATTGTCTCAACTTTGTCCTCCATTCCCAAACTGCTTGATCTTATCTCTTGGTGATGCTTTCTGGTGAGGTTTTTTTACTTGATTGTTTCTTTCATGTTAATTTCTGTTTGGTTCCTTTTCCATGTTTGAATGCCCTCACTAAAATTTCCCTCCATTTCTGACTTTCTCCTCCAGCTTACCCACTATTTAGTTCACTTTGGAGGTTTTGTATGTAATTCCTTAGTTCATTCATGTGTATTTGAGATTTCTATACAGTCATGTATCCTTTTTTAAAATGAGACTCTGAATTCTTTCTCAGACATTTCAGCCATCTCAGTACCTTTGGTTTCCATTAAGGAGAGGTTTGGAGTGTGTCCTGGTGGGTTGTTGTCTCATAATCTTTGTGTTTCTCTGTGGCATTTTATGCATCAGTCAAGATGGATATGTCCTCTGGTTTTAACTCATCTTTTTCCAACTCTGTTTTGTTTTACATAAGTCCACTGAGCCCTTCTTAAGAACCTATCAGAAAGGAGCTGAGAATGTGATGTCTGAGGACTCTTCTGAGCGATCACAACCTGCTCTGTGCTCTAGCTGTCCCACTCCCATATAACAAAGCTTGTTCAGAGTTGGGAAGGCTGAGAAGCCTCCCAGCACCCAAGAGAACTACAAAAGACATGGCTCCTTACTCCTTTTCTGTTGGTTGAACACCCTAAGTCGGCCTGCCTCCTTCCTCCACTCCTGTCCATGCTGTAAGCACCAGACCACACACTAAAGGGAGCTGTGCTGGTGAACCTTGCCTTGCTGCCTGCCTTCCCTCTCCATTCTGTAGCTCTGGACTCCTTTTCTTGATTCACTTCTCCCATCTCCTCAGGGACCTGCCCTCCAGCACCATCATCCTGAGAGATGGAGTGCTTTACTGTAACCTGTCCTATTGACAGCCTGAACCACGAGAAAGACAGACACACACACACACACACACACACACACACACACACACACACACACACACACAGAATTCTTCCTCTGGCTCCTGAGAGGCTCCTTAAAGGTGCTAACTCCTGAGATTGCTCTTCCCAGTTTGTCCCTTTTATAACTTTCTTCCCATCCCCAGATCACATTTTCATTAATATTATCTATTATATCCACAAAAAAATAAATACGTTCTAGTCAGTCTGTTTACACTCCAATCTTCCTGCTGTGTCACACGTGCCTTTGTTGATGAGCTCCTCCTACTTTCTTTAGACGTGTCTGTCCGGAGTTAGAGGTGTGGAGGAGCAGGACAGATGAGGACCCTAAGGCCTATTAGAAGACCCCACCCCACTACAGTCCAGCTAGACATTCTTCTTACAAATGCTGTTTCTCTCAGTACGCATGCGTGTACATAGACAAATCCTCCTACTCTGACCGGAGTGGTGACCCCACAGCACAGTGCCTACTGGCCAACATTCCCACCTTCTGCACTGTTCCTTTGAGGTAAAATCCTACTCCAGAATGAACAAGGCTGGTGAGAGTAGGGCAGGTTAAGGCAGCTTATGTCCTTGTAGATGCAAGTTTCTATTTTAGCTACTAGGTGTTTTCTTTGGTTTTTTATTGTTTTTTAATGTGGACCTGGTAGGCTACCCTATACCCCAGCTACTGGAGAGTAAGGGTTTAGCTGGTAAGTGGCTGTGAGCACTAGTTTCATTGACTTACCTTAGGGCAGTGGTTCTCAGAACATGGTTCAAGAGCAGCGTCAGCAGCACCATCATCTGGAGCTTGCTGAAAATGCACGCTCTTGACCATTCCAACCCCCCGAGTTGGACACCCTGAAGGTGAGCGTTAAGAAGCACTCTGTGCTTCTAGTACACACTAATGCATGAGTCCCTGGGGGACAGGCTGGGAGCATCTTAGCTCTGGGATGACAAGGATTACTTTAAATGTGTACTCTGCCTTAGCATTGACTTTTTTATTTCCCCCAGTCCCTTCCTCCACTCCCATTAAAATAGCCACCACCACATCACTCATCTCAAATTCTAGGTTTCTCTTCCTTCTAGTCTTAGTTCTAAAACCTTTTCCTGTATTGTTCTGGGCAGGACTTACCCGTATTTCCTTGCAGGCTTCTCACTCTGCATTTTTGGTGACATTAAGAACCAGCAGGAAAGCCGGGCAGTGGTGGCGCACGCCTTTGATCCCAGCACTTGGGAGGCAAAGGCAGGCAGATCTCTGTGAGTTCAGGGCCAACCTGGTCTACATAGGGAGTTCAAAGCTACACAGTGAGACCCTGTCTCAAAACAACCAACCAAGCAAATCATCAGGAGCCATAGTTGTCCAGTTTCTCCTTGTGCACAGACACACACCTCTTGCAGGCAGGGAGATTAGCCTCCACTCCCACAGTGGAGCCTGCTACATCCTGATAGAGTATCTGTTGAGAAGAAAGAAATGTGTATCTATGAATATATCTCTGTTCACCTATATATTTTTGACATGTAGCAATACCTCTCCATCCTCAAGGAACTCAACCCAGCCTGGGTCTCCCCAGGCTCCAGTGGTAGACCCTGACAGGTGGGAGGATACAGTGCTATGGGATGTTTTGTTACAAAACTGTCTTTTCTCTTTTCCCTCCACCCAATTCAGCATGACCCCTGTGAGCAGGCTCTCACAATCTCCTGGGGCGGGGCTGAGGCAGGGGCTTTGAGCTCATTTCCCTAACCGTCCCTTCTTATTTCCCCCATGCCATTTAGTAGTTATCACCCAGCCTTGCCTTCTCGCTCCGTCCTTTGCCCTGACATATACTGTGCCTTATTTATGCTGCAAATATAACATTAAACTATCAAGAGAATCACGGGTATGTTTGGTGCTTCCCTACTCAGACCCACGAGACCCACTGGACTTTGATGTTTGATCATCCTCTCCCTTCCATTTCTTAGGGCAGAAAGAGCAGGGCTCTCCTCTCTGCCTTCTGTAGGTAACATGGCGTTACAAAAGGCACAGAGTTCAGATCTTTGAACTGCCTCAGAGACAAGGCATCACCAGAATACTGACTGGAGAACTTAATGTGTGCTTCATTTAAATGGGAAGTGGGGTTGCCTGAAGACCAGGAATCTCTTCTCTTTCAGTGTTTTGTCCTCATTCCCTTCCAACAATTGAAAAGAAAGAGACAGGGAGTGTCCACAGAGACAGACAATGTCAAGCTTTCTGTAGAGGGAGAGAGAGCTGGAGAGATGATTCAATGGTTAGGAACACACACTGCACTTGCAGAGGATCCGAGTTTGGGTCCCACATCCACGTTGGTTGCCTCACAGCTACCTATAACTCCAGCACCAGGGGATCTGATGCCCTCTTCTGGCCTCCACAAGCACTGCACTCACCTGCACAACCCCCTCCCCAACACACACACACACACACACACACACACACACACACACACACACAAAATTAAAAAGAAAAGAAAAAAATGAAAAAGAGGAAAAAGCCTGGAACTATGAGGCAGACTTTGTTTAGAAGCAGGTAAAAGTTGATAGGAAAACAAGCAATGCTCAAGGGTGAAGCAGAGAGACAGGTGAGCCACTGATTCTTGTGTCTATATATTCCTTTATAATTACCACTGAAAGTGAGGACGGTGAGACAGACTGAAGAACTTGACAAAAGACAGAGCAGGAACCTCTGAGGCTCCTGGTAGGACAGATCCACCAGGTTGGTGTTTGGTGAGGGACTCGGAGCCTCCTTTGGAAAGTGGAAACAGTCTTGTTGGCCTTCACTGTGTAGGGCTAGCAAGGTGGTCAGCAGTAAAGGTACTTACTGCCAAGCCTTAAGACCTGAGTTTGATCTCTGGACCCATGTGGTAGAAGGAGAGGACAAGGTGTTCGGGGCATGTGTCTCCCCAACCCACCCAGGTAAATGAATAAATGGAAAAAAAGGGGGGGGAGGGAGCATGTAGGGGTTCAAGAACGTTTGGAAGAGGAGCTCAAGAGATGGCTCAGTGGTTAGGTGCTGCTCTTTTAGAGGACTCGGGCGGCTCACAACTGTCTGGAACTCCTAGTCCAGGGGATCTGATTCTGGACTGGACTCCCCAGATACCTGCACTCACATACATGAATGCAGACATCCACACAACTAAAAATAAAAATAAGTCTTTGAAAAAAGCCATAAGCCAGTCTGGTCTACATATTAAGTTCCAGGCCAGAGCTACAAAGCGAGACCCTGTGTTTATTTATTTGTTTGATTGTTGGTTGGTTTTTCCAGGCAGGGTTTCTCTGTGTATCCCTGGCTGCCTTGGAACTCACTCTGTAGACCAGGCTGACCTCAAACTCAGAGATCTGCCTGCCTCTGCCTCCTCAGTGCTGGGACTGAAGGCGTGTGCCACCACTGCCCAGCTGAGACCCTGTATTTAAATAAGCAAGCAAGCAAGCCTGGGAGTTGGGAATCCTAAGGCAAGACAGTGTAACAGGGTAGAAGGATTAACTTATGTTGTAGTGGAGGTGCGTGCTCCAGTTAGAAGTCAGCGAGCTTTCTGAATGCAGCTTCCTACTCTGTACTCCAGCAGTGTGGTAGACAGAGTGCCTTCTCTGTTGTGGTCCAATGGGATTGCTGTGCATTCGCTCCATTTACTGTTCACAGCAGCTTCTCAATGACAGAAGCCGTTGTCTGTTGTTGAGGGCTGGAGACTGTACTTCAGGCCTCCAGCATGCAAGCTGTTCGTTTTATTGAGGATGAATTGATGTTTACAGAAGTTACAGAGGAATTACAAGAGCAAAGAGAAAAATACTGAATTCCTGTTTGGCTGTGGTGGCACACACCTGTAATCCCAGCACTGGGGAGATAGAGGCAGGCCAATCTCTGCAAGTTCAAGTTCAGCCTGGTCTACATAATGAGTTCCAAGACAGCCAGGGATACATAGTGAGATCCTGTCCCGAGGAAAACAAAACAAAAAACAGAACCTGAACTCCTGCCAGGGGTTGGTGGTGCCCAACTGTAATCCCAGCACTTGGGAGCTGAGAACAGAGGCCAGCCTACTAGGCTACATACAGTGTCCCAATCTTAGGAAACCACAACAAGCTGGGTGTGGTGGCACACACCTGCAGTCCCAGTATGAGGGAGGCAGTGACAGGCAGGTCCACATAGCAAGGTCTAGGCCAGCCAAGGCTAAATAGTGAGACCCTGTTTCAAACACACAGACAGACAGATGAAAACCCAAAACAAAAAGCAGCGTGAGCTGTTAAGACTGTAATGAATGTGACAGGCTCTGTGGGAAACTGAGACAGCTTACAGAAGGTTCTCGAGCCTAGGCTGCACTGATACAGAGAACATCCAGATGGAAACCCAGTCTAGAACTGAGGGTGCCCCCTTTGCAGTAGAGCACTTGCCTAGCACATACAAGGCCCTGGATTTGGATTTGATCCCCAACACCCCAAAACTAACTAACTAATCAAAAAAAAAAAAAACCTTATCTGCAAGCCTAAATGTAAGTTAGTTACAATAAAGTACTTCCCCTTGAGCAAAAAAGACAGGATGAATGGAATGTATAAAGGGCTTTTACATATGGGATGAGAGATGTTCTGAGACTTCATGGAACAAGCAAAGACCTCTGATGGAGGCCACCAAGCTCAGCACAGGGAGAAGTGTGTCCAAAGAAAGTCTCTGGAGATGGTAAGTTCCCCAGGACTGGTGTGGGGAGGAAGGCAAAGGTAATCACAGTTGACATTTGGAAAATACCAGCTCTGTGCTTTGCTATAAAAGGCATCCCAAGGGCGGTGGTGGCGCACGCCTTTAATCCCAGCACTCGGGAGGCAGAGCCAGGTGGATCTCTGTGAGTTCGAGGCCAGCCTGGACTACCAAGTGAGTCCCAGGAAAGGTGCAAAGCTACACAGAGAAACCCTGTCTCGAAAAACCAAAAAAAAAAAAAAAAAAAAAAAAGGCATCCCAAATAATGCTACTCCTAGGAAGTAATTCATTTTATTTTGCCCGTATGTAAGTGAGGAAAGTGAGGCTGAGTGTGGGTGGCTTGCTTTGCTCATGGCTAAGTCAGAACCGTGACATGGGCCTTCTTTGGTTTAGGCTGGAGATGTGGCACCCTAGGCTAGGACTAGCTCCTTTGCAGGGCCCGTCTCTGGCCTGGAGTGGTTCTGTCTTTCCCTGAAGCAGGACCCTAGTCACTAGCTCCAGTAGTACATTAGAACCAGAGCCAGGCAGAGGTGGTGCTGACCAGAGGAGAGTGGAACAACATAACAATCCAGCCCGAAAGAACTGTCCTTAAATCCTCCTAGATAGGCTTGTAAAAGGAAATGGCTGGACCTGACAGTAAAGATTAGAGGCCACAAGGTGGCAGCAGAGCTTCAGCTGTGGCATCCCATTCCCCGGTTCTCTAGGAAAGATGGGCAGGCGGGTCGACAGAATTTACCAGCCACCTATACTCAGTAAGACTCCAAAAACCACCTGTATCATCTCACTTTACTGTCCATAGGTAAATCTTAAAAGTAGGGATTCCTCATTTAACCTCTTAAGAAGGAGTGGGGGGATTGGAATGGGCTTCGATCCTGACTGCCCATCTTGGGCATGGGGAGGGACCAAGCTGGGTCATCATCCTAGCCTACTGTTAACCCTAGTTCCTTCCCATCTAGGAAATAACACTCAGTCCTGACAGGAGTTTCTCCAGTCAGGACCAAGATGATCAATTGAAGCTCTCCAACCTGTTGAAGGATTAGGGGTTCTTATAAGACTCCCCCAGGGCCTAGCTCTGACAAACCATCTGCAATTAATGATGCTTCCTGAGCTCTGGAGACAGGATTTATGCATCTAATAAAGTCTATAACTCCAGGCTTAGGCTGGGGGTAGGAAGCTGAGAGCAGAAAGTCCCCAGGGGGGGTATGGGAGGGGGTCCCAGGTGGCTCTTAATAGAGCCATGCATTTCTATTGCCTGTCTAGATTTCCCCTCAGGCTGCTGCTGAGGTGGGGGTGGGGACAGCAGGTATAAGAGGATGGTGTGCCAGTGGGGAGGTGGATGGCAGCATGGACTCCAAGCGGGCTGCTGTGCTGCTGCTGCTGCTGCTGCTGGTGGACTGGGGCCACACTCAAGAACCAGGGAGCCGGGACGGAGACCAAGTCTTTGCAGTGAGTAAGCACCTTTCTCCGAACCATTTCCCCCTCAGCTGAAACTAGGGTTTGATGCTCCCAGGCTGCTAAGGTCTTCTAAGGGAAATGGCTCCTTAGCCTATGCAAGTTGCCCCTAGAAGCCATTTTTTTCCTGTGTCTTCAGTGTCCAGAAGGACATTGCTTTTTTCCCTCCCTGTCACCCTCTCATCACAGGAAGAAGATGGGGGACCCCACCCAGCACAGTATACCCAGACTCCTGGGTCCCTCTTGCGTTTTCTGCTCCAGGCCATGGAGAGACCTGGCAGGAGCCCAGCCTTCCTATTTCATCCCCAAAGGTGAGTTTCAGCAGGCAGAGGCTGGGAAGGGTGGAGGGCAGAGGAAGAGGTGAAGGAAGGTAAGACAGAGGGAGCTTCAATGGAAGATGAATCTCTCCAAAGGTTTGGCCGAAATGCCTGGGGGTCCTGGAGCAAAGAGCAGCTAAGTCCCCGGGCTAGAGAGTTCTGGAGCTTGGCTGCCCCTCAGCGCTTTGGGAAGAAGTAACAGCATCATCCCCTGTGATGTCTGCATGCAAAATCACCACCCCCATGTGCCACATGTGCCCCCAAATAAAATGGTCTCGCTTCTGAATCCATGTGTTTGGACAAGACTTTCAGGGAATGGGTGGAGCAAGGACGAAAAGCAGAGCCCCTTCACCTCCACTCAATCAGACGCCAGCCATTCTGCTGAAGGGTCCCCAGCTAACTGCACCTAGCCTCCTGCCTGCAGCAAAAACAACAGGAGTTCAGCAGAAGAGTCAACACACCACGTTTATTCCTCTGACAGCCACATGACCCCTGGCCAAAGAAAGCAGGGTTTCGGGAGCCAAAGAGCAGCAGCATTCATTCTGGATTCCAATAGAATTCCAATTTCCTTTTCATTCATCATCCACAGAATGAGAACAAATCCTGTGCTGGGTGGGGCCCTGTGGTTCATGGCTCCTTGCTTGCCTATGCCTTCCTCAGTCTCAAGGCAGGCAGTCTGTGTCAGAGGTAGAGATGGCACCTCTGGAGGGTTCCAGAGCTAGGTTGATGCATAGGCCCAGGGTCAGGAGGAGCAAGAAGTAAAATGTGACATCCATCGCTGCAGCCAGGGCACTACTTGCTACCCGCCATGATCCTGAGGTACTGCAGGGCGCGGCGAGCAGCCTCACCTCGGGCTGCCTCCCTGGTAGTTGCAGAACCATGACACACAGTGGCTGGCTGGGTGGACAGTTCCACTAGGCACTGGCAGAGCCCACTCAGGCTCAGTTCTTCTAGAAACCAAAAAAGAGAAGGGAGGCAGTGGCAGGGAGGGTACCAAAGAGGGTGTATGTCACCCATCTCCTAACCCCTTTATACTTGCTCTGGTCCTGTCCCCTCCACCCCCATTCCCTTAGCTGGCCATACCAATGTCCAGGTAGCTGACATGGAAAGCCTGCTCCTCAGAGAGCTCACTGAGGACATTGCAGCAGGCAGAGCCGAGAGTCCCCAGAGAACCCACGGAGCAACTTCGAAGGGACAGGATCTTTTCTCCCACAGAATTGCGCAGGGAATCCCAGGTGCAGCCTGGCCCCCGGTTCCGAAGTCCATCGAGGCGGGAGCTCACACCCTAATGAGATGAGAGTGAGAAAGCCCTAATGACTGTGGGACCTAAGCCTCTGGCATGCCCTAACTTCTGGAACCTGGTCTGGTGGCCAGGCAGCCTTCCTCACCCCAGTAAAAGCTGCCTACAGGGCTTTTCCCTAGGTGAGCTTTCACCAGTGAGCACAGCACAGGCTGAGGGGCTGCTGGGCTCACAAGTTCAAGAAGCCCTGGGGTTTGGTAAGAAAACTGGAAGAGAAGCAGGTCCAGACTCACTTCCAACCCAATTCCCCAGCGTATCCTGCAGTGAGAACCACATGGCAAGCCCACACAGACTACTTACAATGGAGAAATGATCGTCATCAGGTTCTGCCTCGTTGCCATCCCGGGCATCCAGAGGAACTGTGTGCACTCGAAGCAGCATTTTAGCTGCTGCATTACGCTTTGCCAGCTTTTTGGAAGTGCCACTGCCTGAGTGTGGGGAAGAGATTCCTGGATTTGGGGATTTCCCTCCAGATTATACTTGGATTGAGGGTCCCTCAATGGGACGTCACTGCAAAGAGGAGCTGAAGGTCTGTCCTTGTAACTGAGCAGCTGGTGTACCAGAAGAGAGGGAGAAAGATGGGCAGGGGCAAGGACTGCACGGGTAAGAGCTGAGCAAGGAGCCAAAAGCAAATCAAGCCAGGAGAGAGCACAGCCAGGCAAAGAGCCACCTGTGCCCAGGGTCAGAATGGGGCAGAATCAGAGGATGAGTGAACCCCCTTCCCTAGTTACCAATCTCAATGAAGCGCTCCACCCGGCATGTCATGGTGAATTCTTTGCGATGAGCAGGCCCAGACTCCTGGGTCACCATGTATTCTGGCAAACGCCAGCCTTTTTGCACCACAAGTTCCTTGAAAAGGAGACACAGGGAGCCCAAGGATGAGTGAGGAGAGGCCCCTTAGCCACGTGGCCTTCTACCCAGGAGCCTCAGCCTTTGGGTGAGAAGGATAACCACCCTTCCCACAGTACACACACCCCTGCCTCACAGCCCTAGTGCAGAGAAGACAGCACATGTGAAAATGAAGATGGGCCACACCTGCAGAGCTCCAACAGGGTTGCACTCAGACTGCGGAGGGGAGACAGGGGGCTGCATCTCCATGGGAGGGCTCCTGAAGGAAAAAGGGCCCAGGCCAATGCTGAGGAAAATGGTTCCTTCTGGGCTGGTCATGGGCTCAGTATCAGCCACTGCTGCCATCTCCCAGTTTCTCATCAAGCATGCAGCTATCTGTCCAAACATCCAGCCTTGCTTCCCACCCACCCCCATCACGCTAGCCCCTGCTAATTCCCAGGAGCATTTCAATATGGAAATACTTCAGCAGCAACCTTATGACGGAGGTAAAGGGGCCATACAGCCAGTCCTTCTGGGTCTCAAACATGGTACGTACCTGCTGTGGCCACCTCAGAAAATGGAGCCTGTAAAATCTAAGATCCTTTACATGCTATTTAAACATCATAAATTAACCTCCTATCTCAAGCTTACCTACGAGCTGGTGCAAATTTTTCAATTATTCCATTATGTATTTACTGAACCTGCCTGGGTACAGGGCTAAGCAGCTAACACCTTCCCTCTCTCTGAGATGTCAGGAAACTCAAGATACCTGGTTAGTATAGCAGATGGGACAGGGGCAGCAGCTTCTGCAGCAATGACAGGCGAGTCCTCAGGCAGTGAAGAGTCTAGGAGAGAGAAAGAACTTCCCGAGGGGAAGGGAGCCTTGGATTCACACCCATGTAGAAGGGAACGGGGGTGAGAGGTCCTTCTGACCTTTCCATCCCCTGAGAGAATTCCTTCCCCCTAATCCAGAGGTCCTCTGCTGACCCACAATGGCTCAAGAGCACTGAGGCTGGGGTAGGGGGCTCAGAAGAGAGTCTCTTCCTACCCAACAAGCAGCTGCAGCCTGAGTGTGGAAGAGGTCAAGTCATGCTGCTAGAGAGGGGCATGTTGTGACCAACTTACCAGCCTTAGCCTCCACCCCATGCCCTACCCCCGCCCCAGAGCAGCCACCACCCATCAAAGGGGTTGTTACCCTGAGGCACCCTAGAAACACCCTGTTCCAATGCTCTAGAGGAAATTCTCAGGAAGGGGCCAGGTCAAGGTCACCAGAGTCACCAGGCTGGGCTCAGGGAGAGAAGCAGGTAGTGCGGGGCTGCGTTCTCAGCAGGGTGTCCAGTGTGCCTTGGCTGCTCCGCCCTCACCTGCTGTCCTCCAGGGCTGGCTCCAGCACGCTCCCCCCTTTGAGGTGTCTGAGGGCCACCTCAGCTGCCTTGTGCTTGGCTGCCTTCTTGCTGGGGCCCTGACCTAAGAAAAGGGGTGTGGGCAATACTGGAGGTCACCAGCAGGACAGCAGAGAAACCAGCTCCCACGGCCTCTCTCCTCACAGCCAGAGGGAGCGAACAACCCTCTGACCAACCTCCCTGCCAAGACTGGAAGGGTTCTGATGATTGCTGGAGTAGTCTTTGTCCTAGTTAGCTTTAACTGTCAACTTGGCACAACCTAGGATCATCTAAAGGAAGAGCCTTACTTGAGGAACTGCCTAGATCAGACTGGCCTGTGGACATGGAAGGGGAGGGTCTTTTTTGCTAACTGAGGTAGAAATGCCCAGCCCACTTCTGTGGTACCATCCCTAGGCAGGTGGTCCTGAATGTGGAACATGGAGTTTCTGCCATGGTTCCTGCTGTGCTTCTGTGGCTTTGGAGTGAGTTCCTTGGTCAGATGTAATGGTGTAGAACAGCAAGCAGGCAGCAAGGATGAGTTCATTCTTTTTGCTCTTGACTGTGGATGTGAGTTTCTACCTTCCCCACAATGATGACTATAAACCAACCCTTTCCTCCCCTAAGCTGCTTTTAGTTAAGGAGTTTTATCACAACAATATAAATAGGCCTAGAACAGCCCGTATCTTTCAATTAGCTCCCATAATTAAGCCATGCCAGGCAGGACTTCTGAGCTCCAACATTGGGCAGGGGTTTCCTTTCCTCTGCAAAAGCACTTCCTTTTCCCTCAATAAATAGTCAATAGAGACAACAAAGGATTGGTTCGAAGTCAAAGCTCTCCTTTGCCACTTACTAGGCATGTGATCGTGTGCCAGACGTTTAATTTCTGATACTAAGCTCTTCATGTTCAACATGGGACATGAAGGCCAGCAGAGTGTGTGCTTGCTCCCGCAGGGAGTTTAGTGTCTCATCTACTTTTCCTCCAAGGTGATAAGAGCAGCAGATCTCTGTGACACTTCTTGTTCTCACTAGTGAGTCTCTCAAGTCCTATCCACCTTCTCACAGTCCTGTTCTTCCAATCCAGACGATGGCTTTCCCCTTGAAATCTCTCCATCCCTCCCTGGCCTTAAGGAAGAGGACTGTGAAGCGATTTCACGATATTAAACCACAGGCCCTGTGAATGCACACCCCAGCCAGGCTGCCCAAGCCTTCCTCACCAGTGCAGCTGGTGTCGCCAACGGTGACCCGGAAGGTGAAATTGGGCTGATGGGCTTGGCCCTCGGCTTTGAGAAGGTCGTACACGGGCGTCTTTCCTATTCTGGTCCCATACTCCTGAAGAAGGCTGATCGGGGTCTTGCCCGGGTTGGCGGCCAGCATTTGCTCTATGCTGGGAGGGAGGGGCACAGACCAATATCACACTTCCCCTTTCGGCACCCACCTGACCAAGCACTGTCACATTAGACCTAGCCACATTACAGAGTCCATGGATCCCCAGGCAGTATAGCATCCATTGACTGGGTTAAGAGTTAAGGTGCAGGAGGGAAAGCAAGGTCCTCTATCCCAAGGCAGGTGGAGGATGTACTGTGCCGTAGTGCTGGTTGGACGTGCATTACCCCCTGGCACAACTCAATTCGGGAACCCAGTACCCACCAAAAGCACTGAACATCGGGGCATAAAGCCTAAGGCTCCAGTGCAGTCTGGGAATCAAGCCAACCCCAAACTAGAGCTGGAGGCGGTGGCCACTGACCCAGTGCATGCCGGGAACCTCTGCCCACTACCCCAGTGCTTGCTGGGAACAACCCTCAGGCCAGGTGCATGCTGGGGCTGCGCCGCTATCCCTCCGCACCGCCTCGCACTTTTCGTCCTGCAGGGATCGAAATGAGGCAGCTCACCTGGGCAGCCCGCAGCCTGTGGTAGTGCCGGAGCCCTGCTCCTCTTCACTCATTCCCTCCTCCGTCCCCGCGGGCGCCACCGTGACTACAGCCTCCACGCGCCCCAGTACACCGCCGACGAGCTAGGGCCGGGGCCAAGCCCGGAGTCGCGGCCGGTAGGGCCCGCCGCGGGGCATGCTGGGATCTGGAGTCCCCCACCCATCCGACTCCTTGTGTCTTCATCAGGAGTCGAGCTACCCGCCCCACAACTCTCCGCGTGGCTCGCCCGGGCGCCTGCGCCGCCCTCTGGGAGGAGCGGGCCCTCCACGGAAGCTCCCCAACCTACCAGCGGTTTTTGTTTTCTACTGTCGTCCCGCCTTCTTCCTTGCGCACGGCCTCCTCCCAGGCCGAGACTGTGAGCATGCGCACTAGCGGGGTGAAGGCGGCTGGGGGCGGGGCGGTAAGGGACGCATCACTCACGGAACTACAGAGCCCAGGTGCCCGCGCGTCATCCGGCCGCCACGGCAGGCTTCGCGGCCTCATTGGCTACGTTGAGAGCGACCTCTTCTAGGCGCGTGCCGATTGGTCACCTGTAGGGAGGGTTGTGATTGGCCGGGGAGGCCGCTGGCGTGGTTCTTTTGCTGCCCCAAAGGGTGGGCCTTCCCCGGCCGCCTCCACCCGGGAGCTCTGGGGTTGTAAGTTTTTTCAGGAACTGCCTCCCCAGCCACCAGTATACGTCCCTTAGCGCCCCGGGCCTCCGTGTCTAAAACCTGCTTTTTTGCGGCTTGTCCTTTGCCTCTCTTCATTAGCGGCACGCAGCAGCCTGGCAGGGTTGGCGACTCTTTGGATAGGTCCCAGTGAACCTTCCTTTAACTGTCCGGGAATCTGGCCCGAGAATCATTAGATGGACCTTCTGCTCTAGTCTTCTTTAGTCTCGACTGAAAACGAAAACAAAGCACGAGAGTAATTGACGAACTAAAATGCCCGCAGGCCTGAACAAGTTCTTTCGGATCCCCAACGTCTTGACACCACCAGAGTGAAGGATGTAGGGGAGATCTTGTGACCTTGGACAGAGGAAGAAAGAGACACCCCGAAAAACGTGATTCAAAGAGTGTTTTAAGAATGGGTCTGGGAAGCGATGTCTTGCCAAGAAGGGAATGAGGGTGGAGGTAGAGGAATCCTGGAATGATAGCGAGGGGTCACCCAGGAGCTCTGAAGTGGGAAAGGACCTCCGACAGGGTGGATTCCAATTGGGTGAAACTGGAGCAGTGACGAGAAGACCAGCTGGCGAGACTGGTATGAGAAGGGGCCAACGCCAGAGCGTGTGTGCGATCTGAGGAGCTGCCCTCTCGGGGTATAGAAAAGAGTCTGTAGACAGGTCACAGGGGCTCCTACAGAATCCGCATGAGGCCCAAAGTGGGGCTGCCGTAGGACACCTCCACGAAGGAGGCAGAGCCTGGGCGAGCCAGGAACGAGCTGGAGCGCGCCGGATGGCAGCCGCGGGCTCCTTTAAGAGGCCGGCGGCTCCAGCGCAGCATCCTCCGCTCAGGGCGTGTCCGTCCCGGGGGGCCAGGGGCGGGGGCCTTGGAAGGAGCGGGAGTTCAAGTCGAGTGGGGACGGGGCTTAGCGTAGGGGGTGGGGGCCCAAAGCTGGGGCTGACACCGGTGCACCTGAGCTCCGCACGAGCGTCGCCGGTGACAGCGCCCCGGGTCCGGTGGAGGGCAACGGGGGGAGGAGGGAAGGAGGAGGAGGAGGCGGGAGCAGCATCCGGAGCGGAGCTGCAGCAGCGCCGCCTTTTGTGCTGCGGCCGCGGAGCCCCCGAGGTGAGAGCCTGGGCGAGTTGTGGGGGTGGGGGGCAGAAATGGGTTCGGGTCCTGGGATCCTGGTGTGGAGGGAGGGTCGGGATACAATTTTTCCGTGGTGGGGGAGGAGGTGACTCGAGGATGCTGAGGACGTGGGATGGAGGAACTGGGGACCTGGACCCGACGCCTGGAGATAGGAAGGAGCGGGGCGAAGCTGAGGGATGCGGCGGCCAAGCTTGGAGACCAAAAGCCTCCAGAGCTGTGGTGGATTATGTGGGGGTGCAGGTGGCCAGGGAAAGACTAAAGGACAGCGGGCAAGAGCGCGTCCTCTTTTCTCCTCACCCTCAAGACCAAGAGAGGAGAAGGGAGAGTTGTGGCCCTCTCCAGGGAAGGGAAGGAAGGGCAAGGCCTAATGTACCCACTGCCCCCCTCCCCCACACCTGCACCTATCAGGCTCCACCTGAAAATTAGGCTGCACCTATTCCTGCATGCCCTGGCGGGGTTCCTCTCCCCTCCATCTGTAATGCCTATAATCTCCAGCTGTGGCATTCCCTATCATCCAGCTGTTGCACCCTTCCCCCATTAGTATGTGGCTTTCTCTCTCTCCAGCCCTCTCTCCTCTGGCTTCCCTAACCCATTTCCCAGGTCAGGCGCTTCAGAAAACCCCTCCCTTTTCTCACACACTCACCAAACTCCTTGGCTTACAACCTTGATAGTCAAGGCTTTGGCTGATGGTGGGCTCCATGGGCAGTGGTAGGAGTGGAGGGAGGAGCCTTGCCGCTCTCTGTTCGTTGCCTCTTGGCTTTCAACCAGGAGAGCATGCACATGAGGTCTCACACACCACAGGCCCCGCACCCACAGTGGGTGTCTCACTCTAAACCTCCTCTCTTCCAGTCCTCCGGGTTGCCTCCGTGGTTCTGGGAGCTTTGATTTCCAGCCAAAGGGTCACCCAAGCTCACCAGCAGCAAGCATTTGGGAAAGAAAGAGCCCAAGTGCCCTCTGGGTCTTGCTGTCCAGACACTGGAGTTTCCAGGTTCAAGAGCCCTGCCCCCTCTTGTCTCACATTTAAGGAGAGGAATGGATCTGGGCCTCAAGCTAAGCCACAGCCAACTGTTGGCTTCAGGAAGACCCCAAGGTCCAACACTCATGAAATCCCCCATCATTGGTGGACAGAGGTGGAAGGTGTGGGTCAGGATTTCCTAGACGTCTTCACAATATCGAAAACCCTCTAAATGGCAGTTACTGCTCTGAGATTCCGGGGGAGGGGTAGTGGTAAGGTGATAGAGGACCCTAAATTCTAGCATCCACTTCTGCTTCTTTCCTGTCCATGCCTAAAGAGTAAGAGAATTGGGGGTGCAGCTTTTCTGGGAGTCCTTGAATGGGTGCAAGTAATCTGTTGACAGGATGCCAGCAGAGGACATGGTGGCTTTAGGAGAGTCTGTCCACTTGCCCCGAGAAAGCCTGGTCATGTGTGCATTAGGAGAATGGCAACACTGTTCTGAGGAGCTCCAGGGAAGAACCCCTGCTCTTCGTTTTATTTATTTATGGTATTAGGAATTGATCCCAGGGCCTTATACTGGGCAAGCTCTCTACCACCAAACTACATCATCAACTTTTTTTTTTTTTATTTATTTTATTTATTTTTGGTTTTTCGAGACAGGGTTTCTCTTGTAGCTTTGCACCTTTCCTAGAACTTACTCTGTAGCCCAGGCTGGCCTCGAACTCACAGAGATCCACCTGCCTCTGCCTCCCAAGTGCTGGGATCAAAGGCGTGCGCCACCACCGCCCAGCTTCAACTTCTTTTTTTACAAATTTTATTTTGAGACACAGTACCACTAAGTTGCCCAGGCAGGGCTTGAACTTTAAATCCTCCTGCCTAGGCCTCCTAAATAGCTGGACCTTTGAGGCCTGTGCCAGGAGGCCTGGCAGGCTGCGTTTTCTTGTGCTATTTTTTTTTCAGCTCCTTTTCTCCACCTCCCTTTCTCCCTGTGTCTCAGTATTGCCTCTCATTTTGAGGAGGTAAAGGAAGCAAGAAGCAAGTATAGTGGCTGGTGCAAGCCTTTAATCTCAGCACAGTGGAGGCAGGTGGAGACAAGTGGATCTTGGTCAGTTCAAAACCAGCCTGGTCTACATAGCAAGTTTCAGGGCAGCCGGGGCTACATATAGAGTCTGTCTCAAAAAACTAAAAAGAAAAAACAACTTTGTCTGAGGGTGTGGCTCAGTTGGTACAGTGCCTAACAAACATGCATGCAAGAAGCCATGAACAGAGCCCTGGGTTTGGTGCCTGTCGCTGTATAAAGCTTGATGTGGTGGTTCACGTCTCTTATCTTACACTGGGGTAGCAGAGGCAGGAGTATCAGGAGTTCATAGTCATATTTAACTACATAGCAAGTTCAAGGCTAGTCTGGGTGACATAAGAAAAAATTTTTCTTGGTACTTTGTGTGAAACATCATGACTGCTGTTTATAGAGAGCATCCTGTGTACCAGGTACTGGGCCAAGAACTTTTAGTTACCTCAGTAATTCGTATAGCATCATTAAGTTACTTTATCATCATCTCAGCTTTAGGTATGAGGAGACTGCAATGAGTTAGGTATTCAAGACCAGTTGGCCAGTCTTGGTGGCACATTTCAGTAATCAATGAGCCAAATAATCAATAGTGCAAGGAAGATTGAGAGTTTGAGGCCAAGTACAGCATGAACGCAAACACCGTTAATCCTAGGACTCAGGATGCAGAGGTTGGCAGATCTCTAAGTTTATGAATAGCCTGGTCTACACAGAGAGCTCCAGGCTAGCCAGGGCTACATAGTGAGAGCCTCTCTCTCTCTCTCAGAAAACAACAACAACAACTGGCCTGTGTCTTACCCACACACCTTGTAAGACTGACATGGGTGCCACTGCCCCTTAGATACAGAAACAGCTTTGTTAGCAGATCTCACACTGTAGGTCACCCAGTCGATCAGAAGCAGAAATGGCATCCCAACCTCTGCTGTCCCTGAGGCCTGTGAGTCCCCCATGCCTAGGCCGGGGACAGCGATGGATAGGCATTACACAAGTTTTATTTCTTTTTTGCAATTTAAAAAACCATGTAAGGGGCTGGAGAGATGGCTCAGCGGTTAAGAGCATTGACTGCTCTTCCAGAGGACCTGGGTTCAATTCCCAGCACCCACATAGCAGCTCACAACTGTCTGTAACTCCAGTTCCAGAGAACCCTCACACAGACATACATGCAGACAAAACACCAATTCACATAAAATAAAAATAAATAAATTAAAAAAAAAACCATGTAAAAACAAAACCATCACGTTTTATATTAAGAAAACTCAAAATTATTACTGAAATAATATAGATAAGCCAAAAGAAGAGTGATATACTATGTGTGCTGATGCATGCCTATAATCTCAGCACTTGGGAGAGACAGGAATTCAAGTCCAGCTTGGGCTATATGAGACCTTGCCTTTTTTAAAAAAGAAAAAAGTTGAAATATCCATACTTTCACCTGTCACCTTTTTTTAAGACAGGGTCTCATTGTGTAGCTTAGGTTGGTCTTAGCCTCTGAGTTTACAGCTCACATAGTTCCTTTCAGATATTTTAAAAATGCAAATTCAGCCTTGGTGCTATATATCATCACATGCAGCTTCTTTCAGGCCTGACTCACTGTAGGGGACCCTGTGACCCATGCCATGCTGCTCCTGCTTCTGTGATCTTCCTGAGCAAGGCCGATCAGGAGAGAGATCACTACTTAGTTGAGCAGACCCCAGCGGGAACCAGCTAGAGGATAAGGATGAGGTGCAGGGCTCCAGGCCTTCCCTGAAGTTTGCAGATGCAAGACAGCAGGTCTGGAGCCTCCAGAATGGCCACTGTCATGTGGCCACTGAAACCTGAAATCATCATTGGTCCTGGGGTAGCAGAAGATCCGAGACCAAGTTTTTTCTGGTTGGAGAGGAGAGCTGGCCTCCCTGGAATCCACAAAGACAGACCTGGTGTTTAGCTAGGTGGAAGACAGTAGAGCCAGGAAAGTGGTAGGCATGGCTCACTGTCCCCCTACCTCCTCTTCCTACCCTCCTCAGCCCTTAACGCCAG